TGAATAATGACTAATATTTTAAATATTCCTGATATTTACCGATCACCATTAATCAAAATATTAAATATATTATTATACCGAGTCTTAAGTCGTAAAATCATTGACGAATAAGTTCCTTATTATAAGCAATCCCTTTGAAAAGGTGACTGATTGTAGTTACTATAAGACTAAATGATTACTGACATATTATATATATATATATATATATTATATTATATGATTTTATTGATACTCTTGTATTTTAGCTGAATATAATTCAAATGTTCTACTTGTAAAGTTGTATAAAATAATAACGTAAATTCTACAAAATATGGGAATGAGGGTGTTTTAAATAGAATTACTCTTTTGTTTATATTATATAAAATTGGGTAAATGTTAGGTTAATATTTTTATTTGCCTGGTTTTGTCAAGATTAATCAGAATGATTGTAGAATACTTGTTTCACAATTTCTCCCACGCCGAAAAAATAATAACGAAAAAAGCGTTACCAAAAAATCAGCCATTTTGACATTTTCATGTCTTTTTTGTGTTTTAGACTGGTTTTCATTAGAAAATGGTATGTATTTCCGTCACTTATTACTTGTCTCATTTAATTTTGTTTGCACAATTTAACAACTTTACTAAAAATATTCACGATAAAAGCTAGTTTAACTTGGACGTCTTAAATGCCTTGTTCATTTATTTTGAAATGTTCGACTATTAATAGTTCTATAATCGAATATCTTTGAACAAATTTAAATATGTATGCACTGTAATATAAATTATGTTATTATACTTGACAAATAATAAACAGAACTTTGTTTCGATAATGTGACAGACCTTTACTTTAAACTGGTTTAGTGTGATGTTAATTGTTATCATCACTACTTTGTTTCATTAAATTTTGTTTGCACAATTAAACTATGGTACCAAAAATATTCACGATGAAAGCTAATTTATCTTAGACGTCTTAAGTCTCTTGTTTATTTATTTTGAAAAAATCAATTATTAATAGTTCTATAATCGAATATCTTAAAAACAATTTAAATATGCTGTATACACTGCAATAAAAATTGTATTATTATAAAACACATATTTTATATTGTGCAATATTTCGAACTTGACAAATAATTAACACCTTTTAACTGAACCCTGTTTCGAAAATGTGACAAACCTTTACTTTAAACTGGTTGAGGTTAAAATAGTTGTGTGACTTTGATTAGATTACATAATTGTGCGGTTGTTTAAATATGTATATTAATGCATTTCGTAAACTTCGTTATATTTTATAATATCTTAAAAATACTTTATTTACTTAAAAGCTTGTGGAGTTCCTCGGACATTAGAAACACCTACCGGAGTCCAAGAAGGTTACCTTTTCTTAAATTTTTAAAAGAAATTTTTGTCATTAACAAAGTTAACGTTCGAGGAGGAGTGGCCGAGTGGGTAACACGGCAGTGTGTTAGCGCTCACCGTCGCCGGTTCGACACTCGGTCACAGGGCTCCGTTTGCTGGGCGAGCAATCGTCCTGTGAAAAGGAACCGTCATCCCCCTCTCCGGCGACGGATTGACGACAATGATGAAAGTGAACGTTACTTATTTGGCGATTCACTTATGAAAATTATTTTCTTACATATTCACTGTTCATTTGTATTTTTATTAATACTATTATGTCAATTTTAAGTTAACAAATATTAATTTGATATGTATAATTTGTTGAATTATAGCTATCCAAAAAAATCCTCCTGGTATAGTATAGACAGTAGAGTTAGTAGTAGCCTAATGTGCACTTTCTTTATTAAATTTTTAAAATTAAATAATTATTTTTGTAATGTATTATTTTTGCACATATTTTATAATGTGCAATATTTTGAACTTGCGAAACAATTAACACCTTTTAACTTAACCCTGTTGAGAAAATGTGACTGACCTTTATTTAAAACTAGTTGAGGTTAAAATAGTTGTGTGACTTCGATTAAATTGTATAATTTTGTACTTATTTAAAAATGTATATTAATGCATTTTGATTTATAATCTTCGTTATATTTTGAATTACCTAATAAACTACTTTTTTTTTATCAATTATTTATACTGATTTGCGCTAAAGCACCACGGTTTTAACTGCACTTACCTGATTTCCTTTTTTCAATTATTTTTTTTTTCAAGATAGCCATTTTATTTAAATTAATTTTTTTTAAATAAATAAGTGATAGAAATTTGTATTTTTGTTCATCCGTCCAAAAGTTATATTAATTTAAAAGTGAGGATGACTGTAGACGGGAGGTGGAGTGCGGTAAAGTAAACCGAGTAGAGATATTTTTATCTGCACGCGTTTATACCTACCTAAAAATTATTAAAAAAGTAAAACAGATAACTGCAATAAAAACCGTGGTGTTTATAGTGCAAATGTAACAATATTCACCAATATAAATATATATGAATATAGTTCTTATATTATAAAATATCATTCCCTAGAGATCTTATGAAAATACAAAACATAACTAATTTACATTGTTTTTTTGTATAATAGGTAACGTCATAATACAAATAAATTCTATTAAAGCTATGAATTAATAATGTTTTTTTTTTTTACAGAAAGGATCTAATGACAACATTTCAAAATAGCAAAAATATAAAGTTATTAATACAGATTGTAGATTAATATAAATGTAAAAAATAAAATTGTGTAAGCTATTAAACCAAAAACATATATTTCATGAATTCATAACAAACTGCTACTATCTGGCAAATTTAAAATATCTTGTTTTTTATGAGTACAAGTTTTCAAACTTGTACAAAGTTTACAAATTTTCATTCGATTTTAATATTGTAACTTTGTTCAAGTACAATGTGATTCCTCCATGGTTATAGCCTCTATCAATATTTTACATAATCTCAAAGAGTTTGTCTGAAATAAACGGATTAAATACACACAGCATTCGTTATTACAATACAAAAATTATAAAAATTGTACAGTAATATTATCATTAGTATATTTACATTTTGTTAAAATTTCTGTATTGTACAAAAGCCAACAATACATTTTGTATCTTTTGGTAATGTAGACAAAAGACGAATATCTGGCGAAGATATGTCAAACATACCAACAAACCATAATAGGTGACAAAAAAACCATATTATCCAAAATTCGTTTTTATAGGTAAATTAAATAAAATTATTTATTCACAATGGGACGATATACAAACAGCACATATAATTATGTGTGTTTGCAATTACTTATTTTTTCATTGTTCAAATAGACATTTGGATTCTTTCAATTTTGGTTAAATCTTCTGTCTGCACATAAGCTATCGCTACATTTATTATTACATTACGAACACATTAAAAAATATGTGTGAACTAAAAAACAAGATAAACGTGTAGGTCCGAAAACCTTTTATTTTTAGTATTGTTATTGGCTTTTATACAAACGTTGTATTCGCTATATTTTTGGAAAAAAATATGGTACAAATTCCAACGATAAGAAACACAAATAATAAAACTAGATTTGCCGAAATACAACTTGTTATAAAAATAATAAAACTATAAAAATTGTATTTGTTTAATACAGTAGATACTTTAAGGGGCCTCTACACACTAGCATTTATCAAGGCTCATTAAATGGCTAATTTTTCATTAAAACTTAACATTAAGCTAAAATGAATTTATTAAAAAAGAAGGATCTATTTTGATATTTCATTTTTATATCGCATGTATAGTATCTTATTTTGTAGAAAAACATGTGTTTCTACTTCAAACGTACTGTTCCTAAAAATACTTTGATTTAAGTTTTGAAGAAACATTTGAAGTCTTCGTGACATTTTCGTTAATTAAGTAATTCAGTTTAAAAAAGTTAAAAATCGCAATTTGTTTTCATTGAAATAATAAATTATCTGAAATGAATTTTAAAACTGTGCCATTAAGAACTCAAATACTTTTTCGAAACTTAAATCGGAATTATTCTTAGGAACAGTACTTTTAAAGTAAAATGAGTTGTTTTCGACCAAAATTAAGCAGATGTAGAGGTCCCTTATGTTGAAATCTTAAAAAATGTGTGATGCAAACCGTTATTTGCCACACGCAGCTCTCATGCATAGCTTTTGTAAATAGTATATGTGTTTAACCGTACTTCTTTGTGTCATTATTTGTTCTTGCCAATTGAGTAGATAATAGTAGTTTGGCAAAACATGCATACTTAAAAACACATACTTAACATACGTAGGCTATTGTAAATGAGTAATGTTCCTATTTTTATGACAGTAAACTGTTTTTTTTTTTTTTTAATGCATTTATATAACAGAAAACTTCAGCAATGGTAGGAATATAAAAATAAATGTTAGTATTAATTTCATTACTGGAATCATGGTTTTTTTTTTTAAAAAGTAAAAAGAAACTTGCCGTACTGTCCATTACTTATGTGGTTAACTTAACCTGACCAGACAAAGCATCAATGTTAAGTCGAGAGCATAAAGAGTTTAAATAGAAAATAATCAAAATTAATTATACATGGTATACCTATATTTGTTATAACTTATAAAGTTAACAATCGACACTCATTGCCGCATTTCCATAGACATTTTATTATAAAGAATTAAAAACAAATTGTTGGAAAAGATTAGACGATAAAACACAAATTTATTGGTAGATAGGTATATGTAATTGACACAATATAATTTATACAATAGGTAACAAAATATGTGTGATTTGAAATGCATTATTATTGAAAAAATCTGAAGTCTGAAACACAATTATGATTACCAATGATAAACATTTTACAGTATACACATATTAGGTAGCATATGAATTTTGAGAATATCACACGGATCTTGGATACTACAGTTTTATTTGTAAATTTAACTGTCGTTTTTAGCACAAAAAAAAAATATATATATATTAAAATATTGTGTAAAAAAATCGTTTATTTAAAATTAGCTTACACATGAATTTTAATTCAAATTAAGTTACGCTCCTTTATAAATTACGAAGTACAAGGCGTTTCCGTTTAAAATAAAATCTTTACTAGTATCCGTTGTTTCAATTTCGAAAAAATTGTGATTTTAAAATATCAAACTATTTTATGTAAAAAAATCGGTTATAAAAAATTGAAAAATTTAATAATTCAACATTTTCACCATTAATTTAGTCGTTTGAAAAACGAATGATAAAATTACATATTGAATTGTACTTTTATGGTCGTGGTGGTGGATTTTGTCGTTGTGGTGGTCGTGGTACTGGAACTTGTCGTGGTGGTGGTGGTGCTGGATTTTGTTGTGGTGGTGGTGCTGGTGGATATTGTGCTAGCGGTGCGACCGCCAAGAGTGGTCTGTTAATTGTTTTTTTTTCGTTCACTGAAAAATCAAAAAAAAGTTATTTGAATTTTTTTATTTTATCCTAGTGCGTCACGTCTAAATTATTAATATTTATTTCGATCCAAAACCATTTAATTGTATTACAGCCACGTGTAATATTCTTAAAATAATATTTTAACTGGATTTTCCACAATTTAAGGCATTCGTAGCGTTTTATTTATACTTTAAGCTTTATTAACAATAATTTCAAAACTGCTAGTAAATGTGTAAAGCATATAAATGGATTTTATCAATTAACTTACCAACGGGGCGGGTGCCTGAAACGTTGAAAAAACAATTACTTTAATACTTATTTTTTATCATTGTGTATAAATTGTATATTTTCATTTTTAATCCAAAAGCTTTGATTTTGTTATAGCCAAATGTAATATTCTTAAAATAATATTATAACTGGATATACAAAATTATACAATATGTTTATGAACTTGACAAACGTATTCTTATTTTCGACAATTTAAGGCATTTGTAGCATTTTATACACATTTTAAGCTGCATTGAAATCTGCTAGTATATATTTTGTAAAGCGCATAAACTGATATTATCCATTAACTTACCTCCTCCCGGGTGACCTAAAAGATTGAAAAAAAAATGACTTAAACAATTTTTTTTTATCCTTGTGTATAAATTATCATGTATAGATTGTATATTTTTATTTTAATCCAAAAGCGTTTAGGTTTATTATAGTCATATGTATGTTCCACGTAAAAGATATAAGTGTAAAATAATTGTGATACTGAATAAACAAAGCTATATAATCATATCATTTTTTACACGACTTGTGTATTTTTTTTTATCCTTGTGTATAAATTATATATTTTAAATTTTAATCCAAAAGCGTTTAGTTTTATTATAGCCAAATATATGATATGTTTCACGTAAAAGTTATATATGAAATAATTTTATTACTGGACAAAGAAAATTATATAAAATTGCTAATGACCATATAATTTTATTTACGACTGTAATAATTTTTATTAGAGGAGCTACAAAAAAATAATTTGTATTTATTTATTTATGAACAGTACCTAACCAACATTCCTAAATTTGTCGTTTTCAATTACCTATTTAATATGGGTTAACAATTGTCCAATTCTATGTTACTATAAAGGTATATGAAGTATTTTAAACCTGCTGTTATACTTTATCGAAAAAAAAAAGTTATATCAGTCATTGAAATCAGATCAGCGAAAAACAATGGAACGATTTTTTTTTTAAATATTCCATTATCACTTGAAACATTAAAAATAGATTCGTATAATATAAATAACTTTATGACTATAAATAGTGTTGAATTTATTTTTCTAAAAAATCCTCAGATGTCATACTAAAAACATTTTACTCATATGGAACAACATTTAATTTTAACACAACCTCATTATTGTTACATTTGTAAACTAAATGTCTTTTCTGTACCTACCTTTAGCAATATATATGATTATGCATAACACGGTTATAATCAGAATGACACTTTTGAAATTCATATTGTTAAAAAATATCTTAAAAATGTACTTAGTAATATCTTAGTATATACTATACTAGGGCAACAGTACAAATGCTTACATTACACACAGAGATATGTGCTACACACAATTGTTTGTCTCATTTGATAGGTGAAGGGAGTGTACATTGTTAATTGATAAAGAAAAAATGTTTAACAATTTTGATCATATTACAAATATATTGTCATGTCATATTGAAAATATATTATTCACATGAATAATCTTGTTTTTAATTACAAAAATAGAGTACATTTTTTTTTTTACATTTGTATACTAATCGTTTTTTATTTACCTGTACACGCCGACATTATAATGAAAAATACAGCTGTAAAAACCAAAATTATGATTTTAAAATTCATTTTTTTTTTTTTTTGAGATTATTAATATTATTAATTTACGGACTTAAAGTAAAACAACAAAGAAGTTGAATACTATACTAGATCAACGGTACAATTGCTTACATTATATATAGAGTTATGCGCTGCATAAAATTAAAAAATGTTTGTTTTATTTGGTAGATGATGAGTGTGTACATTGTTCATTATTAATGTACAATTATTGTGTATGCAGTATGATTCAGTATTATTTGCGAACATGTTTGGCCAAAAAAACACATTTTGTGAACTATTGTTGCAAATAAAAAAACGTGCAAGAAAACCACAAAATGTTTGTTTTTGGTTCTAGAACCTAGTTAAATATAGCCAAACTAGATCAAGTGATTTTAGGACCTTTAAGTTGAAAACTTGTCAGTTGTTAGAACTTATATGTGTCCATAACATATTAAAAGGAAAAACAGTTTCGGGAATACAGTTTTTCTTTAATTGCCGGAAAACTGTTTTTTTTTTCAGATTTTGTATATTTTAAAAATAAACCCTTAAATCTTAAATTTTTTTCATCAAATCATTACAATTTTTGTTTTCGAATATTTCACAACGTCTGTTTGCAATGCAAATAAATGACAAACAACTTATGTATCGTACACTTATGTGTTTTGACGAATGCGGGTGGGAAGTTAATTCAATTCTAACAATAACTGTGTTTAGTTATTTGTCTTGATATGTTTTAACTGCCTGTTGCAGTTTAAACAAATGACAAATGTCTGTGGGTGTCATAAAGATTCAACTTTATTATTACTCTGCAGTAAAAACGTGTTGTATTTATATTTAGTTTTGCAGTTTGTGTATTTAAGTGTTTCGACCATTTTTCTAAAGTTACTGTAGCAATGTAAACAAATGAAAAATCTTTAAAGTTTAACACATTAAACATCGTTGTATTTTACAACAAAAAAATGTGTAGTTTGGTTTTTGGCCGAAAACAAGTTTTCATTAAAATTATTTTTAAATAGCTATAATATTATCACATGACATACTAATACAAGGTGCGCTACTTTACCCCTTTAGTCATATAACAATAGTGCCTTTATATATTTTAATCGTTAAAATTGTATACATTCAACTTGTTTTTTTGATTTTTTTTCTTTAGACATAAATTAACTTTGAAATGTTTTTAATTGAGTTTTATTTAGCAATATCAAATCTAGTTGAGCCTAAGTCATCAGAACGTTACCCATATCTGTTTTTTTTTTTCAAACCGATGTATTTGAACATGAGTATCCTACATAGTTATGTTTTATTATAAAGTTAAAAAAAACAATATTTCGTCAATTTTGTTTTGTTTTCATGTGTAATCTTATCGATATAAATGTTCATAATAAAAATACAAAGGTTATAATAGATCAGAAGTTGACAGTTTTTTTTCCAAACAAACTTAAGCTAAAGTCAACAAAACCTAGTATTTTTTTTTTTTTTTTTTTACCCGCTAAAGAAGTATTACGTTTTTAGATATTTGTACATACGATTTTCACAACGTCAAAAAATATTTAGGGATATACACAACACGGATTTTTGTTGTTACTTATGTATTCGAAAAAAATATCTCTTTTGGCGTTTTCAGCTTATCAAATTATAGCGTTCGCAATTCGTTTTTTAGGTTTTGCACCAATATACCTTGTTATTGTGAAAATTCAACGGTTTAATAAACAAGCCATAGGTTGATAAATACTTCGAAACAGGAATACTATTGATATTGGATTCGTACACATAGGTGTTGTACATTTTTTACAACTCCTGCCTTTATTATTTCATAAAAAGAACATTGTTCCTAATGACAATAATGTGCTTGGAAACGTAAATTATCATCATAGCTACCAATCTATCCACGAACCGCTCATTAAGAAGAGCTCGGATAAAGTATGAACTTAAGGGGCGAGAACTCAGACCCGAACTCCTCGAGCCAAAAACGAAGAAAATATTTTAAAACGTAAAATACATACCACTATGGGTGTTAAACAGGTTTTCTTGTGTTTACCATTAAGGATATAAAAACATTTTAGTTATGGTAAATTGGTAATTACATTTTACTGCTATTTCTAAAACGGCGTTTTGCATAGGCAATTCTACGTACTTTCATGTATTTGCGCTTTATTACATTGTCTTGAGACAATTTTATAGTTTACAAATTTTAAATTATACTGTTTTGGTTATTTTTTTTTTTTTAAGTAAATTATTCAATAATTAAGTACCATTTTTTTTTTCCTACATTTTATTGAGGCAAAGTACTGTATTTTATGGTCTTCCCATTCCATTTCTTAAATTAAATTTGTTTCGATAGGTACATAAAATGGATAAATTTGAATTTTTTTATGGATTATAGACTAATGATTTTATGGATGATCACTAATAATTTTTCATCTTATACATTCTATTACAGCAAAAAAAATCTTTCACTACTTGCGTTTACATAAGGTAAAGTTCAAATGATTTCCATATTTGGGAATGAATAAGGCTTCAAAGGACCTTAGCATTCATAATCACCCTGGCACGTTGAAGTGCAATAAAAAGTTTCAGAATATTTTTAAATATAGTTCATTTGTCGACATACACGTCTAATAATTTGCTTGGCAACAGGTAAATCAAAATCGTTACTTTTATTTTTACATCAACTTGAACAACAATTACTGCCTCTCCGTAAAGTTCTTATGATTTCTTTAGACGTTTTTTTTTTAATTTTTGTAATCCCAGACTACTTTAAACACAAAACAGTGATCAAAACGATTATGTATACCGAGACGACGGAATTTTCGAAAAAGGCGGCCGTCCACAAAGAATCAATTTGCATGTAAGTTTATATTATACATATATATATATATATATATATATATATATATATATATAAGGTATTTAGGTCAAAGTAGGATACAAACCCCTTTCGCCTTTACCTTTTCATATCCCAAAATGCAACGATTAAATGTATATTGTTTATAAAATTAAGATGCAGCTGCTCGCTATCAACCTAAGACACTCCGCTTCCTCTTCACTCAACAACAATCATTGGTAATATGACTTAACGTTACAATTTTTGGACACTAAAGTAAGAAAACTCTAATATTATCTCTAATCTTCGCCTTGCACTCGCAACTGCATGGGGTCGGCCATTTTTAGAGTTGAAATGGAATTAAATAAAATCGATCAAAAACGAAAATGTTTAATAACGTCACCACGTTACCCATATAGTATACATATAGTATAGAAATGTAGTGCCCATGGACGCGTTACCAAGTTTCTGGTTGTTAGATAAACAGTTTTTCTATACAGTAAACAATAGTCGGTGTTGTATTTATTTATTATTCATTATTATCTAACAACGATACGGCATGTTTTTTTTTTTTTTGTAGTTAATATTTTATTTGTTTCAAATGAATTTAACCGGACAGTTTCAACAAGAACCAAACGAAAGTCAGACGCGTTTTGTGAGAAAAACGGGTAAATATTATTTTCGTAAAATAAATATTACATAATAGATAATTAATGATTTTTTACATTTATTTAAAGTTAGAAAAACATTAATTCGCTTTGTATTACATGTTATTTTAGATGCTAAATTCAGAGATGTCCCAATAGGTCAGTATAAACTAAGGATATAGTAGTTACCTAATGGGTAATATATATATATATATATATATATATATATATATATACACATTATACATACGCATATACAGGATGATTATTTTATCGTGAGCCACTCAATATCTCATAGGGTTTTAACATGAAATTATACTATTTTTTTTTTTTTTTGTATAAAGTAATCTCAATTTTTTTACATTTCTCTATTGTTCCTACCCCCTACTAACTTAGTTTTTTTGATAAAAACTATTTATACTTAAATGGTAATGCATGTATTTCATAAATTTTTCAAATTGAGAATAATGTACTAAACGCATTGACTGGCTCATAACTAGTTTTGGACCAGTCAAATCTGTTAGTACATTTTTCTCGATTTAAATTACTAATGAAATGTACGTGTTACCATTTAAAATTCGAAAACTTCTATCAAATATACTAAGTAGAAAGGGGGTAAAACCCGAAAAAATTGTGAAAAATGTAGATCAAATTGTATAAAGTCTATGTGAAAAACAAAATGAATTTCTTATTAAACTCTATGATTCATTGAGTAGCTCATGATAAAAAAATCGCCCTGTATAGTATTATAGGATAGAAATCATTATTTATGTTTCTCCTAGACAGTCGAACGAAAAATGGCTTTTCATACATATTTTATAAAGTATTTCGTAATACAATGAATTAAATGGAATTTCACATATTCTCTATATGAATTGGAATAAAAATTATTTTCTAACAAAATATTTTTAATTGATATTTAAAAAGCAATATTTAAAAAAATTTAAAAAAAATTGTAGAGATAAAAATGATACTAAACCACCACATAAGTCTACAAATTTTACAAAGCTGCACCAAAATGCTTGCGTTTAACTGTCGTCGAGTGACAGTTTCGAACAAAAATGTGTTGGATTTTATCGAAAATTATCTCATCTGGACAATAACGAGACGGCGGTGGTAATGGAAAAACAGAAAGTCGACGTCAAAAAAAAAACGTACAAAAATTCCAAGTGTATTAATTAAAATTTTCATTGTCCGACTATGTCTAAAATGATCACGTGTTAGCAAACAATACCGTACCTTTAGCAACACGAACTGCAGTAGTAAATAAATTATCATCATTAAGGGATGGACAAATTTAGGCATGAAAACAAAAAAGGTCACGTTTTAGTAATCGAGTTGATCTCAAAGCTTTATTACTGGCTTCCAAAACGTTTGCTACGCACACACGATTGTAGCAGCTATTGAACGATTAAAATGATAAGAATTTAAAAATCTACATATAACTTTCGGCGTTATATCTACTACGAATTAATTATTGATTAAATAATTGTTAACTATCTTAACTATCTTTGGCAGCCGTCGAAAATTCATCCGGGTTCCGATTCTTAAAATCCGGCCAATCCGAGATTTAACTGCGTCGATCATACCAGCATAATTGCTAGCGCTTTTTCTTGATTTTCTACCAAGATCGAACTGATATCGGCTGACATTTCTACAACGATTTCGTTGGTATAATAATCAATCCATTTTTCCGGTTTTATCCACCTTAAGGGCCATGGCAAAATCGGTTACCAAATTATTTATACCGGTTACCATTTGTTCATGACTCTGTTGCGTTTCTAGTACTGTATCCTCTGGGCTGTCGCCGAACCGATCCATATAACTTATCAAGGCCGTTAACTTTGGCTGTACCGTCGGTCGATTAAAAATGTCCAAAAACGCCCGAAGGCCCTAAACTTGAGACTTGAATAACTTCAAAAAAATTAACATCCAAAACTAGTCGACATTTTTGTGTTCAACTCAATTGATAGTATCAATCGACAAGAACCTTTGGTTAAATTCAAAAAAAAAAAAACCATTGCATCGTTCCAAACGACGAAAAAATCGAACAATTGTACAAGCAACGTCGAAGTGGTGTTATAACTGAAGAAATGAAAAAGCTTGAAAATGAGGTATTTACAAATTTCTACAAACGTCTAGGTTTCGCGTTCGACTTTGGTAACCAGGCTACTACTATATTAGCTACAGATAATATCGATAATAATAACGCATGGTACAGATTCGGTAAAGTTACTTTTCCATAATACTTGTTCATTATACGTCTAAAATTTAATATAAATTTATATTCATTTAAACAAAACCGGTGAATATTAACTTTGAATTTTATTTGTTTTAAAATCAAATGTTTGACATAAGATGTACAACGCTTAAACATACATTTACTACACACAAGTGTATCTGTTGTTGTTCCACAGTAGATTCGTTGATAAAAACATAATATTATATTCTCTTCGCATAAAACTAAGAGGATGCTACTCGCGCTTGTTATTAAGGAGAAAGGTAAAGGTAATTTTTCGCAAAATCTTAATTTAGAGTTCAAACTATAGTGTACAACTATACTCTAATAGTTACAGCGATAATGATTCGGTATTTTTTTGTCAGAATATCTCAGTCGTTTCTCTAGAAAATATTTGATTTTGTTCACGTCAAAATAATTTTCCACAAACCAAAGTGTCTTAAAATTGTTGTAAAATAATCAAATTTTCTTAGTTAATACCTGAAAGTTGTATTGTGCTGAAGATGTTTTAAATGTCTGATAGCCTAATGCACTGTTATTTAATAATTTATTAAAAAGTACTAGACAATCTTAAACTATTAAAAATTGTACAGAAAAGAAATGTTCAAGTAAATCAACAGACATTATTAAAAATAAAAATATTTCAACGGAAATATTAAAAAAACCGTAGTAAATAGTAGTAGAAGTAGTAATCAAATAAAATAAGTAATCAAATAAAAGAGGTCCAGTGTTCACATATAATAATACAAATATTTTTTTTAAATGCATCAATGATTTTATAACTATAAACAATTATACTATATTTCTACAAGTGTTTAACTGTTTTAGTCTTAGTGAAATATTATTACCTAAACTAAATAAAACAGCTTGGTGATTTCCAAAGTTGTTAGTGGGAGCCTGCGATAAAAATACTGTAAATGCATTACTGTATGGTAAGTATACTCGTGTATCATTAATTCATATAAAATCGCAAGTGAAAAAAAAGCAAAATAATAAAAAAGAGAGGTATATGAGGCCTAAGTCGTGTGCTTTTACATGATGACTTTTGAGAGTACCTTGGCGACCATACGATTTTTCACAGATGGAGCATTTGTAACCAACATTTGTCTACCAAAGCATTTTTCACAAAAAGTTGTGTAAACGCTAAACAATGTTTTATCATGTATAAAACACATTAGGTTCACTAAATGCGTTTGTACAAGTGTATATTTGTACATTATATTAATATAAGTTAAACTAATTAAAGACTAAGAAGTTAATTTTTTAATCATATACGATTAATTAGAAATAAAAATTGTAATTTTAATATTTATTTAAAACAGAAATATACAACGAAAAATAGTATTTTTAAATTATTATCCACGGTTATTTTAGTGGATTATGAACATGTTTTACTAAAGAATAGAAACTATTTCACCAACTAGTTATTTTAAATGTATAATTAATCCAACAAAAAAATTAACACAATTTAAAAGTAGCACAATAAATTAAAAGATAAAAAAAATAATTTCCATTATATGATTCGTTGCATAAAAATAAATAAATATTTAAATTTAAAAATATAAACTCACATATTTTATAAATATTTTCTCCTTAAAGCCAACAGTAATTATAAAAAAAACTACTAACATTGTATAATAAAAAATAAAAATATGAACAATTTTTTTTTTACAATAATGCATGTAAAAGTATAAAAACTAAACAGTTCAAGTGATCCGTCGAAAAATGAAATGGAAAATGTCATAGTTATAGTAACGGTCAGTTAAACGATAGTAACGATAAAAAAGATACAAGAGAAAACAAAAAACAAAAAAATTGCAAAATAATAACAAATAGATCCTGAAAAAATATTTAAAATCTGCCAAATGCCTAGTCACGTGGTGAGGGTAACGAGTCTATGAGCCGTGTGCTTTTGCTTGATGACCTTTGAGAGTACCTTGGCGACCATACGATTTTTCACAGATGGAGCATTTGTATCGTACCCCACCAGTATGTATGCGTTCATGAGACTTGAGGTGAGATTGTCTGCCAAAGCATTTTTCACAGACACCGCATTTAAATGGTTTCTCACCGGTATGTGTACGCGAATGTTTCTTCAAATCAGAATGGACACTGAAGTTTTTTCCACAGACGTCGCAGTTAAACGGTTTCTCGCCGGTATGTCTACGTGCATGGTCCGCGAGATTATATTGTAGACTGAAGGCTTTTTCACAGACACCGCATTTAAACGGTTTCTCGCCGGTATGTATGAGTGAATGTTTCGCGAGAATAGATTTTAGTCTGAAGGTTGTTTTACAGATATCGCATTTAAATGGTTTCTCGCCGGTATGTACACTTGAATGTATCGCGAGAGCAGATTGCTGTCTGAATGTTCTTTTACACACGTTGCATCTAAACAGTTTCTCGCCGGTGTGTATCCTTTTATGGTTGTTGAGGTGAGGTCGTGTTTTGAATGGTTTTTCACAGATATCGCATTTAAAGGGCCTGTCGCCGGCATGTATCGTTTTATGAATTTTGAGGGAAGACTGGTGACAAAATGTTTTTTCACAGGCGTTGCATTTAAAGGGCCTGTCGCCGGTATGTGTCCTTTCGTGACTTTTGAGCGAAGTCTGGTGACTAAATGTTTTTTTACAGACATTGCATTTATACGGTTTTTCGCCGGTATGCATTCTCTCGTGAGTCTTAAGATGATGTTGTCGACGAAACTGTTTTTCACAGACATCGCATTTGAAGGGTTTTTCACCGTCGTGTATCATTTTGTGATTCTTGATTGAAGATTGTCGAAATGTTTTTTCACAGATACCGCATTTAAAAGGCTTTTCGTCCGTATGAATGCGCCAATGTCTTCTCAGGCTCGATATTGATGAACAACTTGTTAAACAAATACCACAACTATTTAAGTCATCTTTGTTTCGAGTATAGTAATCCATAGAGTTTGCACAAATTGAAGTGCCGATCTTGTTACACGGATAATGAATACTGCAGCACGTATAAAACAAAATAAAATTAATTTAAGGTCAATATTTTGTACCAAATATCAAAGGTCTTAATGCATCAAACAAGCATAATTTTTAAAAAAAACAATTTCAATGGTTTGGCATATGACACTAAATAACTAAAATAGTTGTCAATTATCAGGTTGAAAATATTTTTATTCATGTTATTTTACAAAAAGATAAATCTAATTTTTTAATATTCTAAAATTTAGAAATTTTTAAAAAATTTGCTTATTTAACTTGTTTTTAATGCACTAAATTTTGGATTTTAAATGACATCGTAAGTATTATAATATTTCAAATCTAAATAGGTAACAGTAGTATGTTTTGGCCGTAGTGGCTCCTGTTATCATATGATAACAGGAGCATGATAACAGGAGCCGCTACGGCCAAAACATACTACTGGTAACGGTCAGTTTACATGTTTAATACATTTAAAGATTTTAAAATGGGTGAATGTGTTAATATTCTATAAAAATTATCATGGCATACTACTACTACTAGCAGTAGGGATACTCTGAATGTTATTTTTTAAGAAAAAAAAATATTTAAAATTTAGAGGGGTCGAAGAAGTAGGAAAGTACAAACAGAATAATATAATTAAATAATCATCCCATCGATAAGTATAAGTAAATTAGCATTGATAATAGTGACAAAATAAAAAAATAAAGAGTAAAGAACATGCATGTATGTAAATTTTATTTTATTACAGAAAATTTAACGTGACACAGTGACTAGAAACATATTACAAGGGTAAAATTACTTTGCATGGTAATTTTTAATTAAAATAATACATATATTACAGTATCATATTTTATAAAACAACTCTAATTATTAACTTTTAATATAAATTGAGTGGCCATAGACAAATATAGGGTCTCCATCCTATCGTCAGTAATTTTCAGTATCTACACCAGGTATATTTTAGTTAAATATAATTCAAATAAATATATTTAAAAAAGGTTTATACAATTGTAGAGCTTTAAGCAACAAACAGACAAGTCTACTTATTAAAATTGTTCAGAACGTTAAACAAAAAAAATTCTTTATATTATTAGTAGTTATTTTCGAAGTGCATGTCCGTAAAACAATGTATAAATAAATAGTTATTATCGATATGGGCAGAAATAAAAAATTGCTTTATGTGAAGGGACCACATTATTTTGAAATCGTTGTAGGTAGAATGGTAGAAAAAAAATTGTTGTAAAATCTAGATACCTACTTACTTACTTATCTCTTAAAATTTGCCGGTGATTGTTAAGAGAAAATAATAGGGAAACTAGAATACATTTAGAATGAGCTATTAAGAGATGACTTATAATATTTCTAGTCTGGTTTGTAAATATTGGGATGTGAAAGGAGTGTATAAATTATGAAATGTACCTAGTTGAAATTGCTAAATTATGTCAACACTGCCGATAATGAGGCAATCTTATAATTGTACTTTAATCAACCATATTTTGAAATTATTGTTTTGTTTAATAACAACAAAAAAAAATGAAATTTATTGAATACAAAAATAAACGTCCTTGTCCAATGATGATGATTAATGCTTTCAGCTAGTACCCAAACCACGCCTATTACTGTTATTCGTGACATGCAATAATCTTATAATAATTTAACAACCTAATCGCCTAACCGGAAATCAACGTTTACTTAAAACGGTAAGTTATGCTTAAATGCCATCTTTCATTATTAAGTTCGAGGTTACCTTAAAATGTGGTTTTTAATTCGCCGTTTTGTCTTAAAAGATTTCTGACAGTAATTGCAGTCAAACGACGTTGTTTGCTCTTCTTCAGCATAACACAGTTCATGCCTAGTAATTTCTATTTCTGATTCGAAAACACAATCATCGAAGCAATCTTTTTCAATTTTGATACTCAATTGGTCGTTTTTTCTGCTAAAACTACAACAAACAAAAATACAATACTTTATATTATTGTATTAAAATTAAAAAAACATATACATTATAAAATGTACATGATTTCATTATAAAATATAATGAAAAAAAATGTATAAATGTTTTCTAAATATTATTTATATATATATATATATATATATAACACAGTAAGTCTCGTGTGGATGAACGCTAACATAATGCGGTACTGCAGACTTTGACCGGTAATCATACCCACAAATAGATGTTTACAAATTTATTTTTTTTGGTATTTTGATTTAACATTATATTGATAAGAGATGTAGTTTCAAAACAATTTTTTATTATATAAAAAAATGGTTCCTAATTTAAGTTAAAAGTCAGCGAAACAATAACATTGATACCAACAACGGGTTTATAATGGAGGATGACATCATTACAAAAACTGAATTGTTTTACTTAGTAATACAAATAAGGTACAAAAATTGCCTTACTCATAAGTATTGTCGCCTTCATTCTTTACCAAAGACTCCTCCGTTGTAGAAAATTCATTGTTTTTTAACTGCACATCTAATGGTTTAGGTTCAATGAGTTCAAATGATTTTTCAAAAGATTGTTCTTCTGTTTCGTCATTTTCGTGTTTAATTTTCAACATATTATACCGCTTCAAAACTCTAAAATTAACATCAAACTTAGTTATATTTCTGTGCCATAGATGCATATAAAATGAATAGCATAACTTAACTATCTAGTTTTAATTCTTTTATTTAATAACAAATTATTGTAATAATAATGATGACTAGAATAGTTTAAAGTGGCATTGAGCCTGTGTCCTTCAAACCTATGTACAAAGCATAGTACCTATCTTTTAGGATACATGAGATTTTATACTTCAATAAGTAAATAAGTGATTGGCTTTTTTTTAATATTAATAAATTAATTAGATGTGCATGATCAGTTTCCAACAGCTGTATTAAATATATTTTGGTTTTAAACTGTGTTTCATTCACCAATATGTCAGTATCTTATTTATTGTTGGACACATTATAATGCTCATCAAGTCAGTAATTAACAAAACCCAAAATATTATTCAACTGCATATTTAGGCTTTAATCTATAAATAGATCAATAGTTTGGCCTGTTGGTGTAAGCATAGAAGATCTATTAGCTTAAAGGAGAGTAAAAAAAAATATTTTCATTAGACATTTGCAATGGTTAAAAATATTTGGGATTTCATTAACAATAAACACAAAATCGGTGATAAATGACCTCCTTGTGGTACACCTGAACTAACATTAATTACGTGATAATAAACTCTAATGTTTAATATAAAATTTACCCTTAAGATTTATAACACGTTAATAACAAGGTAAGCATAGAAGAAGGTAAAGATAAGTGAATTAAGTTACTCAAGGAAAGTTCATACTTCTCTTTACTTCTTATAACGTCGGAAATATTTGTTTAAACAATATTATAAATACTAGGTATTTTGAAAATAAATTAGGACATCATTATTTCATTTTTTTTTTTTTAATTACGGAGGACGACATCATTACAAAAACTGAATTGTTTTACTTAGTAAAAAAATAAGGTAATAAAAATTGCTTTACTCATAAGTATTATCGTCTTCATTCTTTACTAAATACTCTTCTGTTGAAGAAATTTTATTGTTTTTGAACTGCACATCTAACGGTTTAGGTTCAATGACTTCAAACGGTTTTTCAAAGGAATGTTCTTCTGTTTCATCATTTTCTTGTTTAATTTGCAACATATTATACCTCTTCAAAACTCTATAAATAACATTTAACATTAGTTGTATTTCTGTGCCACATATGCATAGAAGATTAATAAGTCATCATTTTACCCCATTTGGCCTAGATTGCCCAAACTTGAATACAATAAAAAAAAATAAAGAATAATTTAGTTTACATTATTTGAAATACAAAAACCAACAAAATGTTGAATAGCATATTTTTTTTTTTTTTAAACATTTAAAACTAAATTCTAAATTACTTAAATTATAATAGCACAAAATTACAAGTATGACTTGTAGGTAAGAAGCTAATACAATAAAAATTAGTGCTAGACGATAGCCCCATTTGACGGACTAGATTAATTTAAAGTGGCGTTGATCCCGTGTCATTCCACCGAGTAAATAATAAGTAATATACAGCCACATACAAGACTATGGTTCTATTTATTCACAAGCAGTATACTAAGTCAATGGAAGACAGAAACCAAGGCAATAATGTAAATAAATTAGAAATACAAAACGGCGGGTACTCACACAACGTAGTTGCCGTGAACCGCAGTCGAAGGCTGCTACTAAAAAACCTATGACAAAGGATTAACAGGCAAGACAAAACTCAATTGCAAATGCAAATTGAAACGAAACACGACGCAATTGGTTAGGTATTTATCACCGAATTCGGCCAAGTTATTTTCATTGAAGAACTAATGATTGTCACGAACCGGACCAACACTGAAAACAAATTGTACCCGTGGCTCTAAATCTAATTTAACTGGTAGTCATTCACAGAAATTCCGGATTGACAAAAAGAAATCTCAATTATTAACAAAAACAAAACGTATTTAACAATAATTATTGTAAACTGTGGTTTTAATGCTAACTGCACGGCAGATTTGCGTTGGTGGGTGTTTTTGTGATAACGAGTGATTGCCACAGGTGAAGTTACACCGTGGCTTGGAGGTAAACTTTTTTTAAATAAGCGTTATTTTTACCTGTCGGCCATCATATAGCTCTCTTATTGTACTCTATGAAAGTCGAAGTAAAAATGAAGGCTTATAAAACGCCCAACAACCAGTCAGTGGAGATTATAGTTATCGTGTTATACCTACACTCTATTAAACCAAAACAATCCGTCAATAAACACTGAATTTTTGGAAAACACACACACAAACGTAAATATTACAATTATATATATATACACCAAAACACATAATTATATGGGCGACGGATTATTAATAACCGATTGCAAAAACACTCAAAATATATTGATAAAAATAGGCCACATTTGGTGGCAATGTCACCAACTAATAACTAAATTTGTATAGATAAACAGGTTTAAATCAAAACAACAATTGTTTTCACAATTTCCGTAATAACTAAATTTGTATATATAATAATACAGTTATTATTTATCAAATATTTAAAATTATACTATTTAGCAAAATATCTGGGGGGGGGGCGAGAGAAGGGCAAGAATTTGTTATGAGGGGGCGACCGCCCTCCCTCGCCCCCCCTTGGCGCCGTCCCTGTGTATACTTACCTGCATCGGCATCCTGTAAAATGTATTAACGCGTTTTAACTAAGTCTTGATCTGTTTCGGAAACACCAATCGCTAATTGTGTTAGAATACATAGGCCACACACGCTAGTAAAATTAACATTCAATATAAGAATAAAAAAACAAAATAAGTGTTAAACAATGCTAGTTCAGTTGGGCCAGGGCGTAGAGGAAACGGGGGCAGGTCGCAGGTCTACAGGAATTATTATAACTAAAAGTGATAAAATCACTTTTAAATGAACGCTTTGATGCGAATCGGTGAACAGTAAGTACAAACCAATTTAAAAAAAATTAGAGCACTCCACAACAATTCTTAGACACTGTGATTTCGATTTGAGACAAAACTATTTTGATGTGAACAAAATTTAATATTTTCCGTAGAAACGACTGCGGTGTTCTGACAAAAAAAAATACATAATTCTCATTGTTGTACGTGATAAGTATATAAACCCAGTTAGATATTTAGGGGCTCGCAATACAAAAAATCACCCTGTATATACATGAAAAAAAAAAAATTGAAATAAATTTTGAAAACATTTCGTCGGCAGTACCACCTTAAAACTCATAAAAGGACACATACTGCCGAAAAACCCTTCAAATGCGATGTCTGTGAAAAACAATTTGGTCGACAATCTCACCTCAAATCTCATGATCGCATACATATTGGTGGGGTACGACACAAATGCTCCATCTGTGAAAAAGATTATGGCGTCACACAAGGTACATCACTGGCTTTGTGCAATTCAATTCTACTATATGGTAGGTATAACTTGTTGGGGTGGTGCTAATAGAACAGAAATTGCTACAGTACACACTGCCCAAAAATATATTATAAAGGTAGACTACTCCCTCCCATTATCATATCCTTCAGCGGAATTATTTAGTTGTACAAATATATTATCTGTCTATAAATTATACATTAGACAAATCTTAATAAAATCCATACTGAGGCATAGACTAAAAGGTATAGAAATTCTAGAGAGGAGAACAGGAAAATTTATAAAAACACCATTTACATCCCTTACTAGCTCAAGAAGCTCCCCTGATTACATGTGTAAAATAATATTTAATAATTTTGATAGTGATGTAAAAAGTCAAATTAAAAAAGTATGTGAACTCTTTTCAAACAATACCAATGCCCTAACTATTAAAAATTATTAAGTAAAATAGTGGGTGACCTTGATGAGAATGTGTGTGTAAATCAATTATTAAAATGTCGTTATGTGTAAGAATGTTATAAGAAATTAAGTATTTGTATTATAGTATTATCCGATTATCGTTTATTATTATTTCCATTATAATTGTGTTGTGTTTTCATTCTATGTTAGTAAACAGTATACATTGTCTTATTATTAGAACTCCGTATGTCAGATACGAGCAATTTAGCTCAGTTGGCATACGTATCAGTAGTATTATATTGTATTTGTTTGTTAGTTTTTGTATTAAATTATATTAAATACTGAATAAAGATAATAATTCCCACCGAAATGGCGGAAAGTGGCTGCTTCAATCTTCTCTATTGGTGGCATGTACAGTTAGCAATCTAGTTTATTATATATATCTGTGTACAATACATGCTCGATGGTAAGTGGTAACATATGGTAACGCATGGTATATACCCAATGGTACTATAATAATAATAGCAGTAATAAAATATTTAATAATTATACCGTAATATAACAACTTTAGCTTAATTTTATTATATAAATGTCATAAACCGTATTATTATAAAATATGCATAACAGACGGTAGTTTTTAATAAAATATTATAATATATGAAACTGTGTTTATTTAAGCGTACGCCGTACGGCGATATCACACGTCATGTATTCGTTATCAGTCGATGATTTTGTGATAACGATTGCCACCGAAGTGTTTACGTGCGGACCGCCGTCGTTTTACCTGTACAGTTTAGTCGGCATATTATCTTTACTCGTCCGGTTGACGTCGACACGGCCGTCGTAGAAATTCACAACTAATATTGTAATAATTATTATACATTTTATTTTCAAATTTTAAATATACCTTCTCCATGCATTCGTTGTTGGCCCGTGGAAACGCCGTGCTGGCGTACACGCTCAGCGTGCTGGTCACTTTGACGTTTGCGTGTTTCTTGTCAACCATCACGATCGACTACCGAAAAGAGACCGCTCTGAAAACTCTGAAAATCGAAGTGTGAGTACAGTAGCGGTTGGACGATTATTAATTAATCACGTTAAAAACAACATTATTATTATTGTGTAATTTTTCAGCAAAAACTTGCCCGAGTACGGAGTGGCCAAAAAGCTGAACGACTTGGGACATATCACGTTCAATCTCGATGCCAATATCCTTTTTTTATTAACACATAAAGGGTAGTGAGCTCTTTGTTAAAATAAAAACAAACCGATCTTAAGTCGACGTTTCAAAAACCATTTTCTAGCTAAAAATCTTGACTGCCTAAAATGCTGTTTACTCGATCCCCGATTGATTTAGAACGATAAAAAACACCCGCTGTAGAATTGAAAGACGGCGTTTTTCGTTACCTTAGTATGTCTTATATGTTTTTTAATTTATGTCTTTAGATATTATTGTTGTAAAAATGCCTTTTTCAATATCTCGTATCGAGTAGAAATATATATTGAAAAAAAATGAAAACATGTCGTTCAATATGTCATCACCTTATGTTCTAAAACGATCGTGGCCCGAGTAGAACACAATCTACTTAGATATGTTTTGGTTATTTTGTTCAAAAGGTTTGACTGCTTTGACTTTTTGAAATATCATTACATAAATACGCGAGATACTGTGCTAGAGGCAGTAGCAGTGCTTCTAAAATAATATCGTAAATTATAATAAGACTTTAATTAATTCTAAACTGAAATTAAAAGTATTAAAATAATTCTTGCTGAAAAAACTACATCAACTCTTTGAGTAATAGGTTTTTATTATTTTTTTTAAATTTAAATCCGTAGAAATTACCAAAACTAAAAACTGTACCTAATAAAAATAAAATAGATGCCCTCCGTAAAAACATATTCTTCTGGCAACACCACATTGTTTTCGTTATTTCGGGACGGGCTGTTAATGTATGGCGGCCGGCAAGGAGAATTGTGGCGGTTTCTTTTTGGCAGTTTTATATTCTACAAAGTATATAAACAATCATTACGATAATATAATCATTATTTTGTATAATTAATTAACTATAGTTATGTATTAAGTAACAAATTGTTACTTTGTGCCTCGTATTGTTTTTCTTAACGGCCAACTCATGTACATCTCACTAGTTTGTTCAACTGGAACGTCAAACAGCTGTTTATATACATGACCGCCGAATACGAAACGCCGACTAACGAACTCAACCAAGTATGTACCATCGACGTCCACGCACAATATCTGTAAGTTAGTTTTAACTTTTAACACGGTCGCCGTTTTGTTTTTTAGGTCGTTTTGTGGGACAAGATTATCAAAAGAGGCGAAAACGCGGATTTACATTATAAAAACATGCGTACCAAGTACTATTTTTGGGACGACGGCAACGGTCTTAAGTAAGAAAAACAAAACAACATTGTGTCGATAACAAGGAAACAAAAATATATAATATATGTATTATAATTTAGCAAACAAGAAAAAATACATTTAAAGAAAACAAGATTTTACATTATTTTAATTGAAAAACTAATAATTAAATAACAAAATCGAGTAGTATGTAACAATATTATTATTATTTGTTGTTATCGTGAAGTTTTACAATTTAGTAAGAAGTAATATTCAGTGGCATAGTGGTAAACTGCAGCGAGATATTGTTACAAATGTTTGCGCTGGCTTAAAACAAAATTTAATCTGATCAGATTAACAAAATATAATTTAAAAAAATAGACATCAGAAGATTAATAATTCTCTAAAATGATACAATTTAGTTTTGGGCGATCAATCGTGCATTATTTTATTATTAAATGTTCGTACATTATTAGTTTGTCGATTAAATTCTAAATTACAACACAACTTTATCTAACTACGTGTTCACAATACACTTACGAGTATTTAAATGTATTTTATATTAATTGTATATTTTTCTATTTATAGGGGTAACAAAAATGTTACTTTGACTTTGTCGTACAACATTATTCCTAACGTCGGCAGACTTCCACTAGTTGGTTCTATTGGATCTCATTCTTTCGGTTTCCCTTCAGAATACACACGGTAATGACGACAAGGTGTAGACGACGGTTCCTAATTTTATTATATTTTGTAAAATAAATGTTTGTTCTTTTTTTTTCTCTAATTATATAATAATTTTACGAATATATTATACGGCAAGTCCGAATTATTGTGTTTGACGTTTTGTTACTTCTAAATTTGTTTTAAGCACACAGCTTGTTTAAAAAAAACAAAATACAGCCTATGGAATCTTATATTCTATTTGAATTTAATAATATTTTGATTATATTAAAAATTTATAATAAAATATTTTAAGAATGTATGACTGCTATTTTTTATGGTTTTTCTGTCGGACTCAGATCACTGGATATTTTTAGAAGTTTTCTCAATGTCTGAAACAAAACAAAAACAGCATTTGAAAATGCGAGCGCCGCCGAGTTTCTGGTAAAATTAATTTTTCATTGAACATGAAAGCGTTACTTGGTTTTCGGTTTGTAGTCGACCAATAGTCTCTTCTTTTTTAGTAGCCTCTTCGGCTTCTAGACGACAAGCGAGACTCATTACGGCCATCATCTCCTTGATACGCTCTTCTTGGTGTACGATCAGCTCGTTTTTTTCTTCTATAGTCTAGAAAAACAAAATTAACGAGCTTTATGAATACAGTAATTAAACACACTTGACGTCGTGATAACAGATTTTACTTTGGCCGTCAGATCGGACATCAGTCTGTCTTCTTTGGTTTGCGTCAGCAGTTGGGAAACTTGTGTCCGATATTTGCTCATAATCATCTCGAGCGCAGTCTGGTGTTCGGCGACCATGGCCCTGAGTATTTGGTTTTCGCGCACGATCTCTTGGAGCTGCCGACTTTCCGTACGTATCGAGTTGACCAGATCTTCGTGCGGTATGCCACCTTCCTCCATGTCGTTAAGTTCCGATAGATCGTCGGCATACTAATGGGTCAGTCGACACAAAAATTATTCATAAGGTGGTCACAAAATGCATTATAATAACCGATATACACCTGTTTCATAGCGTCGATCTTCTTGTAGACAAACTGCGTTTGCGAAAGCAATGTGTCCGCATGCGTATCGTCTTCTTTGAGTTTGGAAGCTAAACGTTTTGCGTCCGACAGTATCTGCTGAATGGTGACAGACATGGCGACGACTGTGATCCAATGGCCAGACGATATGATTGTATGAACGTGAATAAATAATGTAATATATTGATGATGTTACACCGTAGGCGGACAACGACCAATTACTTTCGACACCTACGCAACGATTTAACTGATGGTCGAAACGCCGTTCAAAACTAGTTCGACCCACATAATAAAAGCTAGAGAATACACTAGTCGGCTAGAAAACGTACTGGAAGAAGACTGCCAATTAGAGAACAACGCAATAACGCAATTTTCGACACGCTTTAATATTCTAATAAGTATATTGTTATTGAATTGTTTACATGTTTCGGTTAGTAATCAGTAATTCTGTTATCACCACACCGTCGACAACTGCAGCAGCTGTTGCTGATAACACAGTGCTAAACGTCGTCATTATCTATACTCAGCGGTGCCAACCTTTCAACCCGTCGGGACCACCAAGAGTACAAAATTCCATTGTGTCGTGTTGGCAACAATGGATTTATCGAAACAGTACGGGCTGCAAACTTGAATTATATAGATTTGTAAAATGTAAAATAATATTGTAATAACTTGCAGGGGAAAAAGAAAAGGCCCCTCTAAGTTCTTAAACACCCAGTGTGTGTTCTTTGTTTTGTTTTAGACCAGCAATAAATGTTTGCTGTGTTTAACTATTGGAAAATATTGGTTTTAACGTTTTTTCTTTATACTGGGTTTTTCACCTACTTATATTGCCAAAAAAAAAGAAAACCGAGTTTATGCCAACTCTGATTTACAAATTAAGCTAAATTACTTTAATTAAAATCATTAGTAAACAAATGCGATTTTAGTTTTATTTTTTTTATTATATATATATATATATATAGTCTGATAGCGATGAGTCACTAGGTAGGTTACCCATACTTAATTTATTTACCCAATTCCCAAAAACTTTTTTTTTTTTTTATCTATTGTCACTTGTCAGGAAAATTAGTAACATTATTTTTTTGCAGAAATTATGTATAGTTGCTGTAGAAAAAAAAATACAATAACATACAATATTTTTATGTTATATACATTTATAAATAATATTATTATTATTATTTTGTTTGTTTAAAAAGCATTTCTGGTAACTTTTTTGATAAAAACATACTAGTATTCCAAGCAAGCTGCATACCATGTATTTATGTAAAACCTTTGAGTAATATACTTGAACGATATTAAAGCCACTTTTATAATTAATCATATATTACACTTTTTAGAGTTAGTCGTTAACAAATATCTTGAACGATTCGTAGGAAAATTTAATCGCCTTTTTGTCAGTTATACAAACGGGCATTTTAAATTGAAGCAAAGATGATTTTTTTTATTTGCTTTAGCTCTGTTCTCATAATATTCCCAAAACTTTGAGGGACTTTGACTAATAATGAATGACATGTTTCATGTTTGTTTTAACGATATATTTTGATAATAAAATATTAGTCCATTTTGCCAAGTCAGAAAAGTCCAAGAATTAGTCAAAAAGTGTACTTATTTCATTGGTTAGGTGAAAAATAACTAATAGGTATGCTTGTTAACGATTCAGAGCTAGCTAAATAAAAAAATTGATTTAGAAATTGGATAGCTGCATGTTAAGATTAGCCGATCAGTATATAGCCACAATGAGCTTTATGAAATATGTTGGACCCATTAAAGAAAGCCATTGTTTGCAATGGATACATGACTATTGAATATATTTAGATAGATTTTTTTTTTATTTAAACCTAAATAATACCATCTGTAAATATTATTTTCCAGTAGCTATTAGACCTAATTGAGAGAGTAGACCATGAATAGCTTGTGCGGAGAAACAACAAATTAAAGTATTTGCATTCAATAGAAAATTCTATCAAACGAATTTCGTTTACTTATACTTACCTGTACATCCCCTTGCTTGTACATTCGAATAGTAATATGTATAATATTGTAATTGTAACGGTTACTAGTCAATATTTTCAAACTATTCGCGTACAATCAAAATAAAATATGTGTAAAAGGTAAAAAAATATGTCTTCAAAGGTAACATTTTGCCTTTTTGATATAAATGTTATTATAAAATGTATAAACGTTTGAAATTTGAACCGATTATTAATTATCAAAACATATGTAGCGCATTAAGCAATTTTTAACTCTGTTAAAATATAAAATAGGTAATTTATTGCCATCGTTTTGGTAACCGTTATAAAATATTATCAACTAGGTAGGCAACGATTGGCAAGCGTGACTGGAATGTGTAAAAATTGGCAAGGCTACTTCCAGTCTGTTGGTAAAATCAAGGTGATCCAAGACAAGTTGTGAGTTGCCGATTGTTCTCCGACGTCCGTTCGTTACTTATGCGGAACCTTTTCGAGTAGTTTTTTGGTAATCAAGTACTGTGTGTATCTGGCTTCGCCATAGCTGTAAACAGAGTTTTGTAAAAATATGTAATTAAATAACGAATCGAAACAAAACTTAATATTTGTAGTGTAAGGTCAATGGGTAAATTTACAGAAAAACGAGAAAGGAAGAGAAAAAACCCTCCATCAGTCTCAACTGAACATTACTCATGATTCACCCCCCGCTGACTGTTTGATTTTAGGATGAGTGATAAGGAGAAATTATCAGAGATATTGTAGCGTGATAAGGAGAAATGATAAGAGATAAGGTAGTGTGATAAGAAAGCACATTGATTTTGATCTCTCGGCCATAAATAGAATGCATGTTGGTTTTATACCCACCGATCTATGATTATTAAAAAACCTGTTTGTTTTTTACATTCTCTGCGTTTTTAACAACGATTAGGTGCACAAACGGGACATGTCCGCCAATTATTAAAATCATTGCTGACAATGGCCGACGGTTAACAACGCGTTGGCCGATGCGCCTCTTTATCATCCATCCTTATCTCTTATCACGCTTTCACGATGAAACGAAATTCGCGTGTACCCGATATAGTCGAAATCAATTTCGGAATATTCGGTTTGGACGATGGCCCAGAGAATCCAGAGTATGTGCGAGAGATTCACGAACAAGTCCACTTGGTCCTTCAAATCTCCTATCCTCGAGTCGTCCGGTTCCATCGGTAGACCGAGGTATTCTTCTAAATATATCCTCAGCCAGTCCGTCCGCAGCTCATTTCCGGGATACAACGAGAAATCCGGTTGCTGCACACCTGTCGAGTAGTAAAAAAATAATCGTTGTTAAAAAAATCTGCTCCGTAGCCGTTGGCCTATAATAAAATAAAAGATAATAAAAGATAAAGATAGGAGGGGCGATAACATAAATAAGGAATGATAACAGATAAGGAGGCTTGATAAGTTTGTAAGAGTAGGGTAAAATGTTTTCACAATGTTATCACATTATTAAGTTTTTTTTAAATCATTTTAACTGAGAAACTTCTTGACTTTCTGATACAATCATGGGAACATTTCATTTTCCTGGGTCGTAATTAATTATTATTATCACAAACAAAGTGGTTACCGGCGAATTCGATAAAATGATTGGCTATGTCGAATGCCTGGTAATTGGGCATGGAATATTCGTAGTCTATGAAAGCCACCTTGGCGGGATGTCCGGCCGCGTTCCTCTGGACTATTATGTTGGTCAGCAGCAAATCGTTATGGCTGAACACGGTGGGACTTTTGATGTTTTCTAACGTGGACCTCACGGTGTCGATTTCGGTCCGTAAGCCCGGCAAGCCTTGTGGAAACGTTTTCCTAAACCTGAGAGAAAAAAAATAACTCCATCAAATCAAAAATTCCTTCGGTTCTAGCACACTACAATCTTGAGTACAACAAGTGATGATCGGTTGATAACGGGTGTCCGAGGGGATTTTCACCATGCCATCCCAACCCTCCCTCCAAACTTTATCCCTGCCCCCCCTTGCCATACCCTCCCTACGATGACGTGTCCTGTGATACGCGGACTATTATCTGTCTCTTTTCAGTCATCTCTTATCACACATTCGTTTTCATATTCTAGATGAGCTTGGGCTAATTTTAATTCTGCTGTGGCACTTGCAAGTGTCCGGGACACATACCGCTCGTCGTTGTCGGCCGAACTGAACGTGGTCGGGATGAGATTAAAATACTGTTCGATTTTGTCCCAGACTTGCGGTTTGGTCGTCCAAGGGTCGCCGATATCCACCTTGTGGAACTCGGCCATTTGTCTGGCGACCAACCGGTAAACGCTGGGCTCTCGTACGGTGATCGTGTCCAGGGTTTCGCCTTCGATGAACTTGTAAGCGATACCGTTGTCGAAAGTGGCGTACAGATCTGGCGCGTGTCCCGCATAGTTTAAAATCTACAACAACGCAATAATAATATGTAAGAAAAACCGCCAAAAATGAATTCAGCCCTGATCGCAAAAGGGTCTTCTTTGGGATTTGAAAAGTGTGCCCCAGAGAGTAAATAAATATAGATCTGTAACAACACAATGTCCTGTATTCGGCAAAGAAGTAATCGAAAAAAGGTGAGCGACAGTGTGACCACTTTTGAAAAATATATATACATTTTGTTTTACAAGTTGTTAATAACGCAGTGTATAATCCTGATCAACTATACAGACCAATTCAAATTTCATATGATATGGTGATAAATGATAATACTACAACTGATAAACCAAGTCTGACAAAGGTTTTATACAACTTGGTTGCAGCAGTGAAGCAAATTCGAAAATGTACCAGAGAAATGTCATTCTGGTCACACTGCAGCTCGCCTTTGTACTTGCTTCATATGTTTCACTTAACCCGACCTTCCGGTGTGCCCTATAGAAGCCCGGTAATTATTGTACAGCTTTCGGTCCACGGTAAGATGCTATGTATAGTAATGTAAAAGGCAAACTACGTCCAATCCGCTTAGACAGACACTTTGTGAAGTTCACATAACAAGTAATTTCAAAGGCAAAATCCGTACCTTCACAAACGCCCAAGAAAGTCATTGACAATTGTGTATCATAAAGTCAAGTTTGGGCAATACCAAGTTGGAAATTTAAAAGTTAGTTTTATAGCAAGTTTGTTTTAAGAATAAACTCTAAATCAAATCAACTGCATTACATTTTTTTTTTTTTTGCATTTACAACAATTCGAAAACCAAATATTGTATTGATGAAAAACGAATGAGATAAAAATAAACTAGATAGAAACTATTTGTTGAACATTTCGAGATGTCATTAGCGTTAAAGTTCTTAAAATATGTTCTAAATTAATAAAGATAAAATAAAATTTTGTATTTTTTTTCTTATGGTAACTTAAGCTTAGTAATTTTTATCAGTTGGGGTGGGAATAGGGGTAGGGGTAAGAGATATAAGATAGGGGTGGGAGATAGGGGGTACGAGATAAGAGATATGTTGTACGACCAACGTTCAAATTATAACTAAATGATAAATTCAAAATAGTTTAAGGGCCCAAATTCTCTATGAATTGTTTCAAGCCAATTGTTTTAAACACTACAATATTAACCAGAAACTTGATGTTTTAATATACTTGCTTGTTACTGCTTCTTAATATACTATATCATTATCTATAATTCCACCACTACTCTAAATTTATTCGGTACTTCAACGAGACATGAAAATGCTCTTTCGTGGTTGCAGACTCGGCTGAAAAACTTTTTTAATTTGTTTCACCTTTTCATTTAAATCAATACACGGTATATTCGATTCGTTTTATTTATTATTATTCGTTATTGAATTTAATTTTACTCAATTCTGATTGTGGCTAGCTAAACGATACACTAACTTGCCCTACTTGGAAAAGTAGATTAGTAATCTGTAAGAATGCAAACGCATCGGCGTTTGAATTAATTTTATCAAACATTTACTACGCAATTACATTAGCCACTCCAAAAACTTTATTATTTTAGGTCTTGGCAAACGTTACAACACTATACTACACTTCCGAGTTGTACACTTAATTTGTTTGTCTAATTAACGCGTCACTCACAGAGTATATACCATATAAATAAAACCCAAAGTCCAACTGCAATCGATCAGTGTCGGATAAGAAGAAACTCGCGTCGCTTAATATAATAAATTGTATAAAACCACAACTATATAGTACATTTCTATTAAGTAGATAATTGGAAAGGAATGCACGTTTCCTGTGCTGTGTAGAATTTACACAAACAAATCGGACGATATAACAGTACTATTTCATCGGCCAACCATCATGTTGTTCAATCATAAGCGATTAATAGATTTTTTTCTATTAAATTAAACGCCACGAAACATCTGAACTTCTTTGCGACGGACAGTTTAACGGTGTCGCCGACCTTTTAATTCCTTATTTATTCTCCCCCACCAAACAAAAAAGTCAATTACTTATTTATTACATACTGACCTTAAAATTTCTACATTCGGCCGCCCTATCGATGTGCCTGTCCGTGTTCTTGCCGTAGACTCGCACCAGCACACCGTCGTCCCCTGAAAACCAACCGACCAGTTTGTTGGTAATGCCGTCTGTAAACAACTAATGAGAAAAAAAAAAAAGGTAAAAAAATCTGCACCACTTGGACTAGCCGAGGCACATAAAAAAATCCACATTCTTACTTGGAAAAAAAAAACTATACAACAGAATCTAAAAACTCCTATCCAAAAAGCCCGGGGAGTTGTAATCTGTTCAATAATAATAATTAATCGACCGGTCAATGGAATAAAACAGTTCACGGAAAACAAATACGGTTAGAGAGTCACTTTTCGTTTATTTTTTTTTTTGGTATTTCAGGAATAAAAAAATTTAAAAAAATTCTACTAACAGATTTTTGAGAACATTTTATACGAAATATGGCCACAACATAATAATAATATGTACTATTAGTCTGGGTTTCAGGCCTCAAGTCACACTAAACTTAATATTCATGTATTGAGATTGAAAAATTTCCCTACCCGGGAGGCAGCCATTTTGTGTACCAATTTCATAGAAGTTGAAAATGCTAAGTAAATATGTATTCAAATGTTAGGTTAGGTTAGGTTAGGATGATAACATGATGATAACTCCGCCAGTTAGTGTTTTATACAATAGGATGGAAATTTTTTCAAAATAGTTATCCGAAACTGGTAATCGATCAGTCAAGATGTTTAGTACGTTGTTCACAGTTTAAAAAGTTAATGAAATGTAAGCGTTACACCGTTTGAGTTTGAAAAATTGATATAAAAATAACTAGCTTGGTAAGAGAGTAGGAACGTACCAATTTGTAGAAAATTGAGATCACACGGCAAAGTCATCGTGCTAAGTACATAATTACATGTAATATCTGTAACAATTGTGAATAAGTGAGTAAGTCGATTTCAGTGATTTTACAGGGGAGCGATTTTAAACTGACCAGCTGCCATTAAATCAGCCATATAAACTCACGTCTCTCTGTCAATGTTTTCTTGTTGGTCCAACGAGTTAGACATTTATTCAAGGTGTGCTAGACACGCTTCGGACTGCATCCAAGCGTACCTAGTCAATTTTGAGCAAAATTCGACTTACACGCTTATTCACAGTTGTTACAGATACATTGTTATTACCTTGCACCGAGCTTTGTCCAAATCCCAATCGGGTCTGATCTCTTTCATGATGATTCGCGATCCGGACTCGACGTTTTCGCCGTCGACGCAGATGGGCACGTGTGGAACTTGTTCGAAGGCTGCTGCCATAATTATATTTTCTATCCGGGCTAAGCTGATGTTAACACAACGAACCGCTCATTGTCCGACCGTGTAGTGCTCTGTGTACCGCGTCAGACTTCAGCAAAGGTGTGGCGTTGAATGGACGGCCTTACGGAGAGAGAGAGAGAGAGCGAGAGAGATTACCAACTCGAATTCGATATTCGCCTGTCAGAGAATAGCTGATAACGGCTACAACGAAACAATATTATTATTTTTTAGAGCGTATTCGACAACCGTCGATCGAACAAAGCCCCATCAAGTTCAGAGGCGTATGCATTTCGTTAGACTAGAATCCTACATGATTTTCAAGGACCCGATCCCTCGCAGCCGGGGGAAAAGTATGTTTTGTAGGTCACGATAATATATATGATTTATCTGTTTCCCACTCCCGGAGTCGCCTCTGTACGCTTATGTACTTTAAAAGTCTAGTTCACGTCTCCTCTTAAAGTGGTGTAAAAGTGGGACAGAGATCTATTCGCTGCTTGTGGATGTATTCTGTCTCAGGGTGCGTTCCCCGTCCATAGAGTAAGCATATATCAAGCCAGCCGTAAGCTCAAAAGGGTCTGAAATCGTTGGAGGGAAGAGGGGGTTCTAAAAAGTATCCAAATCCAACGGAATTTGAAAGGTGTGCCTCATGTGAGTAAACATATATATGGCTGTAACAACATAATGTCCTGCATTCGACAAAGAAGTAATCAAGAAGACGAGCGACAGTGTGACCACTTTAAAAAAAATGTATATTTTGTTTTACAAGCTGTTAAGAACCAGCACAGTGTAATCCTGTCAACTATACAGACCAATGGATCAATTCAAATTTCATATGACATGGTGATAATATTACAGCTGATAAGCCATATGTTTTGTATTAAATGGCTACAGCAGTGAAGCAATTGCAAAATATGTACCAAAAATATTTAAATTCGTCATTCTGGTCACACTGTAGCTCGCCTTTTAGCTTACTTTATAGTATTTTACTTATTGCGACCCCCCGGTCATAAATAGTACTGATTGGGGGCAGTTGGAATGCCAAGCAGTTGACTACAACATTTGAGTTAATGTCCTGACGCAAGTATAACCCACACCTAAGGTTTGACTAAACAAAACAAGTTATATGCTTCAATAACAGGAGATAAGGTTTACCTTTTTTTAAATAAAAATTACAGTCCAATTCATATTATGAAAAATCTTCGGATACAACAATTACAATATAATATGCTTATTACAGTTGTATTTTATTCTTATTAATTTTTTTTATAGAAAGATAGATAATAATCGCAGTATTTTTAAGTCCGAAAAAAACGTTTTTTTATTTATTTCTGGTAAAAATCAATGGATAAGCTTTTTTTTTATCGAGTCAACGCTTCAACAATAAGGTTAGATTAATTTTATTGGCTATAATTTAGATTAACTACAATAATATACACCACATTATGTATAGTTTATATTAAATTGTTGACAGAATATCATAAATCTATTCTTAAGTAGATTGTTAAATCGCAAAAAAATACAAATACATTTAATTTTTTTAGTCAACAACTGTTATCTATACAACTATACTATAATACTTACTATTCGGGTCTTATGTATGATTGGCTAATACTTTTTATTATACTATATATATTACAATACGATGCTTTAACGTTTATTTTAATTTCCTAACATTACAACGCATTAAGCATTTTTTAATTATATATATATATATAGATAGATAGATATTTGTTTTAAATAGTTTACTAGGATACTTTAAAATTATCGAATTAATAATTTACAAAAATCAATTTATTACATTAAAACGCAACCTTGTACATTTCTTTTTACTATGGCAAAATAAAAAATGTTGAACATGGTATTTAGGAGGAAAAAAAAGATTACTTCGGTTTCTTCGTTACATTTTGTTTTAATCTTTTTCCAAATATTTTTTTTCTTTTCTTATTTTTTCCGACGGAAAGTTAAGCGGTTTAGGAGATGTTTTAGGGTTTATCTTATACGCCACCCGTATATCATATTAGAATGGAAATTCAATAAAAAAGAAAACCAACTTAGGCTTTTCGAAGATTATATTTTCACTGAAGTCAATGTCAATATGTCAATATATTTGTTTTTTTTATGAAACGAATTTAAGTCGATCGAGTACTACTTTATTGTTTTCGAAATTACAAATTAACTTGAGCTGTGTAAAATAAAAATAAAAAGTCTGTTTACCAGTTTTTTTTTAACGTCGAGCAGCAAGGTAATAATAATTGTAAACAAACAGCACAACCAATCTAAATGGTATTTTTATTAAACATTATTTTTGTTTTGTGTTTTCCAATTGAAAAATGTTCATTTCATCCGAATAAACGTAGACGTACTGTGTAATTAAATAAGGTACATCTGACACACGTTAATGGTTCTTTTAACAGCAACTGAAATATAAAATAAATTGCATTTACAGCCCCACTTAACAATAGTATATTCCTAATACCGGTTGACTGTTATTCCTTAATAAAAGATTGACATGAAATCGTAGGTATAATATAATATAAATTTTGTTGGTTATATTTAAGCTATCTACTTATTAAGTAAAAAATGATCTACATTTTGGTGAAACAATCAGTAAAATTGGACTATTACTTACAGAGATAATACAAAACGCATTTTTAGCCGCCAATGGGATAAAGAATTTTATTTTGTTTGACCCGAATAATGTTAAAAATGGACGTGACACATTCATGTTTAAATAGAAAATATCTTTGGCTTACAAGTGAAATACATCAAGTGAAGATTTTGTAGCCGTTTTAGTTTTTTGGTTTTTCTGGTGGTCTAAAATGTTGTAATTTAGACTGATGATACCCGTTAATTCGTATTTTGATGTATACAATTTTATGGCATGTAGCATCGCTATTAACATGTCTTTAGAGATTTTAAGTTTTTTTTATTATTTCTGAACAATTTTAACATCTGTGCGCTTTCTTGTAATTTGAAATTAGCTTGTTTTACTGAATACCTTGTCTTTTGGATGGGGAAAGTGAGAAGAGGGGAGGGCAAGGGAGGGAGGAGGATAGAAATAGTAATTGCCACGATCTAATGTCTTTCCTTCGAGGAGATATTGATCTTTTTCCAACGCTGAATAAGAACTACGCGTTTGTGGAGGGAATTTTAAGAAATTCTCAACAAAGATTTTATTTAAAATTTGATTTCACACTTGATTTTTTTTTCTTTGGTATGTAATCTATTTGGCCGGCGACTTTTTCGTTCTTCTCGATTTGTTTTCTTTGACTACCGTCTTTTCGGTTTTGGCCGGCTTGTCCGCGTTTATCTGTTTAACAACCGGCGCCGCCGAAGTCTGCATATTTTTCGGATTTGGTTTTTCCAAGAGATTTTTCCTCAACTTGCTGCTCGCGTTGTCGGCCTGACCGACTAGGTTGGCGGTAGTCGGCGGCGATTTGTCTTTCTCGCGTCGGCGGTCCGGAGCGGTTTTGAGGGCGGTCATTATCGCGGGGTCCACGACGTTCTCCAGCCTGTGGTCGTTTACCTGCCACTTGGGGTATTCGCAGGTGAACTTTCTTTCCATGGCTCGCATGACGAACGCGTCCGTGTTCATTATGTCTTTGAACACCTCGTGCAGCGGCATGTCTTTCGAGGGCCGGCAAAACGGCGGTCTGGCCGGCGGCTTGGGTCCGTCCGATTTGTCGGTTCTCATTATCTTCAGTATTCTCCTGCGCTTTTCCAGCTCGCTGTTCGGATAAGGAGGTCCCACCCGGTACAGGTCGTAGAACAGACTCCGGGCGGTTTTGCCGGCGACGGCCGCAGTGTCTGTGGGCAAATTCGCCTCGGCCATTTCACTAGAAGTATTTATTGATGTATTTTACACTGCGTTTCCGTACAAAACCGCGTTTTGTTGATTTTCAGCCGTCCGCTAACGCGTTACCCTCGAAACGAGCCGGACGTGTTCTTCGGTGTTGATGTCGTCGGACCGTTTGTTTTCTGGAGTGTAAAAAAAAAACCCAATATTGTTTTCAACTTTGCAGGTTCTTCCCGGTCACCCCGTTCAGCCCGTATGACTACGTATGCGGCCGTACGACAGTCGTTGACTAAATCGCGAATCGCCTCCAACACAATTCTGGTAGCCGAAGAGAGACACGTGTACGTCGACGACCATTCGGACGAGTGTGATCCGTGGAAATGGCACGTGTTGTCGAGGGCAAAGCGAAAATTACTTCTGGACAAAATAATATCGGCAACCGAAAAGAATAACAATAACCCGCCAGAGTATTTCGACGAGCGTTTGTGTCGTGAAGTCAACGAACAACCTTTGAAAACGGTACGTTGGTGTGCACCAGGATTCTGTAATAGATACAGCTACAACGGAGATACATGATGGTACTGAAAGTTTGAAAGAAGTTAACTCGAGGATTGAAGTGTGAAGAATAGCACCTGAAGAAAAGCGACTTAGGATTAGATGAGTTGGGAAGAGGTCAAGAGGTTGACAAGGCGAAAAAATGACAAGATGTTGATAGTTACTTAGTACTTAAGAACTTTTGTTCAGATGAACAGTGGCTTTGGTGAGGATGTCAAACACAGGTTTAAGTGCGGTTGGATCAAGTGAAGAGGAACGTCTGGTGTTTTGTGACAGAAAGGTGGTTAATAACTTAAATGCGAGTTCTACAAGAGCGTGTTGTGGCCGACTATGCGGCGAAGATAGGAATCACAAGCAGTAATCTAATAATGAAAAGGTAAAAAGAGAAAGCATGAAAAGAGGTGGTTGGATGCGATTGAAAACGCTTTAAAGACTGCTGGTATATGTGAAGATGATGTGGGAGATCGTGACGAGTGCAGGTCCTAAGGGCAAGGGTGGCCGACCCCAAATAGTCAGGACGAAGAAGAAGGAGCAACTTTTAGACTGTGGCCAATCCAAAATTTGCTTGGGAGAGAAGGAGAAGGTGTGGGAAAGGGATCTGATGCGTTGCAATGTGTTTGTCGGTGGAGACTGTGGTTAAAATTTGTGTTTTCAGAAAGAACCGACGAGGAAAAAACTGATTGCCACCATGGAACGTCTCAAGAACCGTATAGCCGACGTGGGCGACGAGATAGAAAACGCGCGGGTGAAACGCGAAGGACTCGAAGAAATATTGATCAGACAAAAGGGTCTGTCGGCCTGGCTCGACGACGTTGGCGATAGGATAAAAAAATGCGCTTTCCCGACCTCGACCGAAGACCTGGCCGGCAACAGCAGTTGTCAATCTGAGAGGGTAAAAAACGCGGCCGATTGTGTGGCCAGAATAACGATGGACCAACAGACAATGCGTGCAAAATTGAAATCCATCGAAGAAGACAGCGCGACAATAGGAGCTTTAATATAAACCGACAACTAGTCGTTTTCTCTGGGGAATAAAAAAAAAAAAGAAGAAAAATGACAAAACTCAAATTATAATCCAAAACGTCTCATACCCACGTCACGCATTTCGATCGATGCGGACGTCTGCTTGTAATATATATATATTTCCTAGAGAAATATAAAATTTTGAAATTTGGCACGTGGTGTGACAAAAGCTTAAAATAAGTAAAAATGTTTAAAAACGTTTGCGGCCAAATTTTCAATTAGGTTCAACTGGCTCAAGTACAGTGTAGAATATTCAACATAGACATAGGTGTGCAATTAGAAGTAACATTTTTTAAGTTTACTCAAATAAGAATGCTAAATAATAATTAATACTAAAACTTAAAATGAATACCAATAAAAAATACTAATATTATGAATGTTTGATTAGTAACGGAAAAAGTCCAAACCGGACTTATTTACCAACTTCGAAATTCTCTCTAAGAGTTTATTTTGGCCATAATTAGTTCGTTGGGTTTTGATGTGAAAAGGAATACGATCTAATAAAAGGGAACAAGTTAATGAGCCGTTTATTATTTTTAAGAGAAAGGAAATATCCGCATTTTCCCTACGTATACATAAATTATTGAGATTGAGACTAAAATTTTAACTTAACGAGAAAACCCATCTTTTTAAGTATACTGTATAGTGTAGTGTAATTAAACGGATGAACCTTAGAAAAGAAGAAATAATTAGACTAAAAAAAATATTAGAGTAAAAAAAAAAGCAATCTAAGGAAGTAAGTTTTATTTACCAAAATAATGTTGATAACTATTGTATTTTTAGGTTCCTGTAGAAAAATTTTGTAATTAGTTCAAAGAAAAAATCAACAAAATGACTTAACCCGGTCATTAACGACACTACAAAGCTAATAAACGGTAAATAACGTTTCGAGCATAAATATCTTGAATGGTTTCTCTTTAAGACAAACATGGTAGCTGGTAAATTGAGTCACAAGTGAATTTTGAAGTTTTCCAAAACCGTACTCCATAAAATGTGAAAAAAAAATAAAAAACCTCGGCACTACACTTGCTCCTTAAACACACACAAGTGGTATTTAAAAACTATTAACGATTTAAACACAGCTATTGATTTTATATGTTACCATCGATGAATATTTATTTAGAACATTGACAATTTTCATTGACTGTTCACCGTCGATTTATATACACATAAACACCCAGAAATATTTTACTACTACTGTCAAAGTGTAATTTTTCACTTTTTTTTACCCCCTTAATAAAAAAAAAGAATGGACTTTGGATAACCAAGAAAATTGTACATGTTATAGCCCCACATTGAATCTGGTCCAATTTTCATTCTTAGCTGTGATTTTTGCACCCTTTCCCCACTTTGTTTTTATGCATTATTTTTAATCTTAAACCGTTTAGTTCTTCAGAAGAAAAAAAATGTAAAAGACGCTGTTAAGCCGGACGAGGCCTGCGGTAAAAAAGAAATAAGCTATTAATAATAATCCTAACGGCTAATTACCTTATCGGTAAATGGAAACAACAATTTTACCTATAAATAATGTTTTATCGTTCCTATATCTTGGATGTTGCTATTGCTTTGTCACGTTGACTTTAAGTGCTGTTGAGACAAAACACACACACAATCCAGCGTTGCCTTACTCAGAACTATCGACCTTGAAAATAACTACATTTTTTTCCATTATAGTTTAGCAAATTGTTCACAAGACACAAATAATTATATTTTACAAATACAATACTTGGTAAAATTATTACATAATACACTACTCGGTATTCGTGATCGTGTTAAACAAGGAGACTGATAATTATAAAAAGAATATATTATTTAACAATGTCGTTCTAAATATCTACACATATTATTCCATAACAGCTAAAACGAACCGTAGAAAGATGACCTTTTTTTGGCTCGGTAGAAAATATTTAGTTTTAACTGATACAGTTTGCTATAATTTAGATTTGATCGAGTATTGATACAGTTGCAATTAAATATAATTTGTTTTCCGAATAGCGACGATTTATCTAATATATATATATATATATATATATATTATATTTTGTTTGTTGATGTTTACTTTTTTTTTTCTCTTTACGGTTATTAGTTATTACAAGCGAGTAATACTTTGATAGTAAAGATAAAAATTAAAAGGTCAACAGAGATCAAAGTTTCTCGTTTTTCATAGAACTCGATACAGTATACAGGGTGATTCACCAAGACACTTCTTTTTGAAAACATTTTTGTTTTATCTTTTATTTTACATAATATATAATAATTATATAAAACTACTAAATATTTACATATCTTAATATTTTCCATACGTCTATCGACTTTTAAATTTTAAACGATAACGTACCTACATAATGTGTTTAATTGTGTATTTAAATTGAGAATAATTTAAAAAATAAAAACTAGAAAATTGCGATTATTTCAAGAGGTGTTGAGAGAGTGTTATCACCCTGTATGAATCGCCCTGTACTTAAAGAAAATGTATAATTTCCCATAGGTTTTGCAGTAACCGTTTACGACAGCGAAATAGACGCAACGATGGATACACAGTTGGTATAATATCATATAGGTTTGCGTCCAAAATCCGGTTGCCAAAACGGTACACGGCGCGGTCTATGTACATTGTATACAGGTAGGAGTGATACTACCTAATTACTATGATATTAAACCGGATTATAGGCGCAACGGGTATACTTTGCATATATTATTATAATAATAAATAATAAAATACATGGTATACTCACGTGTTATCTGTTGGGACACGAATCGCGATTGATTGGTCGGACGCGGCCGGTCGTCACCACGATAAGTGCGGGCACACACTGACAAGCCGAAAGCAGTCAATTTTCGTTTACTTACACTCCAAAACGGATGTTGTTATTATTATTGGTTTTATGTCCCTATATAAAAATAGGCGTCTTAATTGTTTTTCTTTATATAGTAATACAATACGGGCACAGAATCATTTAAGCAACACGTCTATAGACGGCCGGAGCAGCTGCAGCAGTTGCCGCCCGTGTTCGAACGCGTTATCACCTATCTGATAACGCGAATTTCATATAATATTTCGATCCGTGGTGATAAAATATGACACAGCTGCAGCTGATAACGTTGGTCGTTGCCGCTGCCGCCGCGGTAACGCCGTCGAGTCGACCGTAACCGCGGTAACGGTTATAGGGTCGATCGATTTTGAAAACGCTACTGTACAGCGACTACAGCTACTACTATAGCAGCTCAAGCAGTAATAATAATAATAATAATAATGCTTTTTTTATTATTCAAAGCACGTGCCCGAACTTCATATCATGTTATGTATTCGATACGTTTGTGGCCACACGAGCAGTTTGTAAAAAATAAAACATAATATATTATCTGTTTTGTACAATACACTATGTACATTTATTTTATTTTTATATTATGTATACATTTTTTATAACTTCTGCTTTGAAAACATGGGTTTTACCCGCAAAGCCGCACGATAAACTTCGGAGAGATTTGGTTCAAGAGATTTATATTTTTCTTGAGGGTTTTTTTTTTTGGTCATAGCAAAAGCATTTTTTTACCACTGTAATGGCTACCTTAAATCTTGGCAAGAACTAATTTTTAATTATCAAAAATGTGTATAATATATAAAATATTGTGTCTATAAAGATACAATGGTGAGTTAAGGGTTAATTATAAAAGGTAAAAATAACACCTTGAAGCTTATGTAACACAAACATAAGATAAACCGCTATGGTCAAAATGTAATAAAAACCAAATGTTTCCATATTGCCTATATAAAACGCCTTAAAAGCCATTAATAAAAATACATTAACAACGATATAAGTAAAACACGACTATAATAATTACAACAAATTTTGGTAATATGTTTTGGTGAAAAAACAACCAAACTACATCTATTTTTTTTTTTTTTGTTATTTTTTTTAAGTCTTAAGTCCTAATATGACTTTAGAATTTCTTCAGAACGTTAATTTGGTTTTTAAATAGTTTCCAAAATAATAAACATCATTTAAAATAAAGTTGGATTTTTTTAATTTTCCAGTTTGTACAAAGAGAAAACTAAAAATGTGAATTCAACAAATACATTTTTTTTTATTTACTGTATTATTGTCATCTGAAAACTGAGAAACAAAATGTGTTCAATATGAACGAATAAAGTAACTAATTGGATTATTCGAGAACTAAACAACTTACTAAACTATACTTATGTATATTTTTTGTTTTTTTGTAAGGAATTACAAATTACAAAATACATTTTTTGTAACGCAAAAATAAACCCATTATTTTTTTCTTTTTAGGAACGTTCCAAGCACTAGACTCTTTAGATTTTTAGAATAAGGCCCTTCAGACGATAAGATATGAAAGTGAAGTATGCGTTTCACCATTCACAAAAAAAGGGAACAAATTAAAAAGAGGTCAAACGTCTCAATAGCTTCCTCCCACTTGGAAACTACTCTTCTGTATAGTCTGTTTGGGTGGTGTTTCCAAGAGGGTAAATGATTTTTAAAAATTATCTGACAATCGCAATACAACAAAATGTTTAACACATACTACATTGCTTATGCTATTTTTTATTATAATACTAAAAAGAGAAAAAATATATGTTTTTAAGTTGCAAACAATTATTATTTTACTGTCAGTCTATCCTATAGGTGTATAATATTGTGTTGGCGTTAAATGTAGTGAGCAAGTATTTGATTGTAGTTTAAAATTCACATAGCATAAGTAAATCTGAGATGAACCTCGGGGCGATCATATACCGGAAGTGTATTGTGCTTGGCAAAAGCAATAAAAGGCTAGTTGGAATCGAATGACCAAAGTCGTTATGGCAAGTGTGCTAATACGGGTTTTTTCACCTTTATTTTTTTTTGGGGGGGGGGGAAGGAAGGAGTTTTGAAACGGATAAAAGCGTGTTTTGTAAAAGGAAAGCTAAAGTATTATCAAAGTCATATCAAATAACAAAAAAAAAAGATTTCTTTTACAACCGACCTATAACCAGTAACGACTGAATATCACCGTTTATTGTCTACAACAATGGCGGCCAACGGGGTACGTCTTATGGCGCCCCTTTGACCATATACAATATACAGTACACGCCAACCCATCCCCTCCTTTTCCCGCCCATACCTTCCCTTATCTAACCCCCCCCCCCCTACATGCACACTTATCAGTTATCACTATTCCATCCCTCCTCTATCTTTTTCTTACCTCTTCCCCACCCCCTGACAAACACTGTCTATCTGTATACACTCTTATATGGGTGAAACGATAATCCGTCCAATCCCAGCTATATAAAGCGAGACAGTCATCAGAACGACGAGGTGTACACTAAACCAAAAAGGGTTGGGATTTTTAAAAACGTTTGCAATGTGCATAAACGGTAAGTGACTCATTGTGAACACTGCGTGATCGTTCGGTATTAGTGTAAAGTGCTTGTATTTTATCCGTATTGAATACAATGCAAAGTCTATAATGTATACTCGACCGGCGAACAATATAGTTACATAAGTGTACGAGTGATTAATACCTTTCTTTTTAGTGTTTTCAACGAAAAGCGCAATTATTGTATTTCGATGTAGAAAATAGTGCTTTTGACTTGTTCAAGATTTGTTATAATATACTTTCGATAAAGCCTTCCGAATCGATAAAATCGTACCTCGATGGTTGATGGTTCCTTTTTGTATCGTGAAATCTAAACCCTTCTCAACACAGGGTAACCACTTGTGGAAAAAAAATTCTGCTTGAGAACTGGGCATCACTGAATTTATTGATTGTTGTCCCCGGATATATATCATTGTGAAATAGTTTGTACAATAATTTCATTTCTACAATGTGGTCACACCGAGTTCAGGAGGGTTTTTAGCTATCAATAAAAAAGACAATGTACATTATCGTCCATCTGGTTTTATCTAATCTGCGGTGGCGAGAAGGACACTGATCGAATGGCAAAAAAATGATGTAAGTATAATAAAAAAAGGTAAACCGTTAAATTTTATACTTTGCCGGCAAAGTTACGACCGCTGTAATATGATTTCGGTCGTCTCGTAAAAAATTAATTGCAACGGACAAAGCTAAACAATAAAAAAAAATTGGTTTTAAATAATGTATTTTTAATGTTCTTAAATTTTAATTGCTTACACAATATTTTGTTATGTTAAAATATAATATTCATAAAACGACTCACGGCCGTGTTTAGAGTTAATATATATTTAACACAAAATCTGTTTTCAAATATATATAAATGCTGTTATCACTTTTTTTCCTGATACCTTACATCGTAAGAAGAGTTTGATTTCTAATGAGGTGTATATTTTACACAAGCTTTTTTGTGTAATTTTTCGAGAACCCCATAAATCGATCCAGTTCCTTGGGGAATGGAGAACGAGATGTCTTATGGAAAAAATATTAACTAAGACATTTCCGACAAGTTCGACGTCGACATTAAATCGAGTTTTATCAACTCCGAGAAATGGAATTTTTACAATAAAAACAAAACCATCATGTTTAATAAAGCCTTGAAAAATGTGTAACGTATACTAATATACTATTATATTATAATGATCTTGTTTGGGGAAAACCCAAAACAGGTGATAATAATATATTTGGAAGGAATAACCGACGTTCAGACCGCATGTACAAAAAAAAAATATATAATAATAATCCCAACTCTGTAAATAAATAAAAATTGACGGTATTTCCAAAGAAAAAAAAAATTATAAAACAAAATAATATATTGTTGGTATTTTGCAGTTTAGATATATTGCATAACAGGCAACAGATAACAGGTCATCTTTCTTTGTGTATTTAAAAAATACAAGTAGTTGAAGTATAAAACCTGATAAGTGAGAAAAGTGTAAAAGTAAATTATATGTATTATATTAATGTATATAATTATATATGTATTATTAATAATGATTTTACATTATTCCTTTCAAGTCTACATACTGCACTGAAGTGATTATTTTTAAGTCAAAATTATAATCAGCTCCAATCTTGTTTAAACATAATTTTATTCAGTTTTAATATTATTATTTTAAAAAACGATTTCAAATCTATTATATCATCATAATAATAAAAAGGTTGCATAATAGAAATTCGGAAAAATTGTTAAAATATATAATCATAGTTGGTTTAGGTAACCGAACAGTCAAATTCAAAAAACTATCTTTTATTATTGTCATTGCCCAATGATTTAGTATTGATTTAATCGATTTTTGTTTTGCAACAATTAAGTCAGGGTCGACCTTGTTGGGATTTCGGTTAAAAAATATTATCACGTCTTTTAATGGTCAAATTTATTTATATTTTGGTTTTGTGAACGTTATTTTCTAAATAACAATTGCAACATTCAGGTCATTGTTATTTGCCAACAAACATGAATAACGTGTAAAAATATAATACGACTAGTATTACTTTGTTTTTTACCAGTATAGCTTTCCATATCAGTTTATGGTTTGACAAAATAAATATCAGGTTAAACTAAGGATCGTTATGCCAAACATTAAAAAAAAACAGATCCGTCGAAAAATTAAAAAAAATAAATTAAAAAAATATAAATACAATTACCTAAAATTACGTTTAAAAAATGTTCACCAAATTTATTATTTTTAAATAGAGATTAAATTTTGAACTATTATGCTAATCGCTATTGTTAATTGTTGAAATTTCAAGTTTTTTTTTTTAATTTTGGTCCAAGATTCTTAACTCATACTTTTAATGATTTTCCAAAATAACATTAAGTTTTTATCATATTTTGTTTTTTGTACTATTTACTTTTTAATAAAAATAAAAATATTAATAATATAGATTTTTTGTATTTCTGAATTCATTATATTCGAAACGATTATTACATGTTATTTTATAAAACCTTTTCTTATAATTTTTTTTTCTACTTAAAACGTTAACTTGTAAATAAAATACTTATTTGTATTCGATTATAAATACCAAGAAGTATAATATAAATTACTTTTTATATTTTTATAGATTTTATTTTTTTTTAATAAGTACTTACTCGGCTTCTGATAATTTTACTTTGGTTGCAAATAAATATTAATCAAACTTGCTGATTATTGAAAGAAATAATTGCTATTGAAAAAAATGTATCTTACAACGCATATAATATAGATGTATAATAATATTATATGTATATTTATGCGGTAGATATATCACATACCACTTTATCACACAGTGATAATAATATAAGACTTATTTGAAATACTAAAAAACAATCGGATAAATAAATGGTAGTTTGTTAACAGATTTATAATATTATAACACTTTGGCGGTCATTTTGAATAAAACAAAATGAATCGATAATAAGATAAAAAAAAAATTCATAGATTTATATTATGGTTTCAAATTTACTTTAATACTATTGTTACAGTCTTGATTGATACCTTGTCGGCCATCATTTTGATGGCAGTTCTAAAAAATATATAAACAATACAGCAAGGTAGCAATGAGTAAAACGGTGTCATGAAGTAAGCTAAAAAAGGAGAGCTGCAGTGTTACCAAAATGACGATATCGCATTCCATCAAAGTAATTGTCATTGCAATTATTGTTATTTTATGCGATCGTTTTTATTTAGTAAGTATTTTAGTTTTCAATTTCAATTTTTTATGTACAATCATTTTATGAAATATTAAAATTTCTTTAGGATTATACTTTTCAAACATACATAAGAAAAAAAATTTTGATTTAAAGTGGCCACACTATCGCTCGCCTTCAAAGTCGATTTTATATATTAAAAAAAAATTGTAATTTGTTGTAACAAAAAAAAAACAAAATATTTTCATTGTCAACCTTGTAAGACGGTAAGTAGTAATAATAATCACAGTCCAATATAATAATATTATGAACTATACCTTAGTTAAAGGTAAAATAATTATATTGCACAAAAATAATAATAATAATAACTATTTCTAGGATGCAAAATACCATAAAGTATACATTTTACAGTCGAATGGGTGTTATCGACTCGTTGCAATGATTTGCTGAGTTGTGATAACTGCGTCACAGGTAAAAAGAAGTCCGGTGATCGCAAACGCCGACGAGCACAACAACAAGTCAAACTTCTCCAAGTCTTTGTGCAGTTGCATAAGGAAGTACGTTGAGGTCAGACAAAATACTGTCAGCAGAATGGTCGAAAAAATCACCTGAAAAAGGGTTTAAGTTTAAAAGAAAACACAACCGGTTTGCTTTAGACAAATTTGAATTTTTTCCAGATTCTCAGATATTTTTATGTACTGAACTCCTATAAAAAATATAATCTCATTTATTACCTTTTCTATAAAAGAAATCAAGTGAGTTTAAAACGTGGCACAAATGATTTGCCAAAATATAATACACCCCTGAACCAAAAATAAAAATAAACTAAAGTACTTGAATGAACATAAAAAAGTAATTGTAAAAAACTTTATTATCGACACATTTATTATTAAAACTTTAATACAGTTTAAACTAATACACTATTACGTCAGACTTATTCCCCCTCAGTGAGTAAATTAGATTTTTAAAAGCATATTGTGCAGGCTTAACACAGCGTTGATTTGTCCGTCTTGTTCTACAAAATGTGCTGCCAGCAAAAAATCGTATTAAACTGGTTTTTTTTTCTGTCTCCATCGTTTTAAATAATATAACATTATCAAAAATAGAGTTGGGCAAATACGAATAACTAATCAGATAACAAATAATAGATAATTTTGTTATTCGCCAATAACATAATTGATAGTAGCTATGCCAATGAATAAAAAATTGTATAGTTAATATAAAATTTATAGTTAAAAAAATTATCTCGAATAATTTAAAATTCATTTAAAAACAATTCATAAATAATAAACACATTGCGCTTTCCTAAAAAAAAAAAACCCAAATGTTATCCTGATCAAAGATAAATATATAAATTATTAATCATGAATATGTCTTATGGCATCAAACCACTCCTCTAACCTTATCACCCATTCTTATCACTCGTTATCTTTCATCGTCCCTATCTCTTATTTTATCTCCACCCGTTATCTCTTATCACATGTCAACAACAGGACCACAAGTTGATATGTGTTTGGCAAACTTTGAAACGTCTTCCCAGTCGTAAACCATATTATAGGTGTTAATATTAAAAGCTGCCATTTTCAGTATTACACGCGGGTCTATGTAGCTACTATCGTCGTACGATTTGTGAGGTTATAACAACGGCTTACCAGTTTTTTGGAAACGGGCTCTTTAATCATTTCACCGATAACGATTAACACGCTGTAGAACAAACACACGTACACCGTAACCTGGGTGACGATAACTTTGTTAAACCAATTGGGTTGGTGCGCCTGAAGTTGGAGCATCAAAAGATAATCGCGAAGATTGTGATTTTGAAATCCGGCCATAAATATAGCTATGAGTAATGGGAAAACCTGTGGAGGAAAAAATGTTGACAATTAATAACAATTTAAATAAAAAAACTATTGTTACTATTGTTCTTAGCCTTTTTACAATAATTCATAAAAAAATTATTTTTATAAAAGTATTCATTTTTTTTTTTTTTTTGTTCAGGCTTTCAAAGGGAAAAAAACGTGAGTACATATTTTAATAATACCTAATAACAATAATTTACAAATTCATTTTTTTTTTTATATTAGACATAATAATATGACAAACGACTACATTAAGTATACACGTTTGGTTCATTTTTTTTATCGCCGAACATAATCCAAAGCGTTTGGGACTTGTAGTGTTTACATTGTTAACCGGCTAAAAGCAGCATTGTTTGTGCGCGGATCTGAGAATTGTATTGCATAATAATTATTATACACGTTATCTACCACTTTACAAATTTGTCGTTTCAAAACATCTACAGTTGAGTGTTTATTCGGGAAAAACAATTTAAATAAATCGCAGACAATCTCAACACTATTAATTGAGTAATAATTATTGTGTACCGAACCATGCGGTAAAATTTGCTTTGGCCTTTAAGTAATAATACGCCAAGAACCTACATCCAACAACATTTTGTCAGGTACTTTCTTGGACCTCCCCAGATGAACTTTTCTTATTTTGGGCCAAGTTTAAGCAAATAGAATGAATGCGATTTTTCAAGAAAAACTATTCCACGATTTTGTGTTGCACAACACAAAAGAAGACTAACAAATTGTCTTTGTTATTGTACAGTGTACACATAAATAAATTGTAAATTTACATCTGCCCCGCTCCTGGGCAATTATCCCAATTGACCTCTTGTATATTCAATAAAAAACAAAAAATTACCAAAAACATTTACCGTAGTGGAAATTAATGGACCATACTATAGTGGACCGATAAATCATAACACAAGAGCACAATAACAGCGCACAGAGTCCAATATCATATGAATAATTTAGTGTAATATACTGTGCTACAATTAATTTCATTTACATTTAGCAGTACAACGTTCGGCAAAATGACAACTAAATATTATGATGAGTTATGGTTACTGTTTTATGCATACAAATAAAATGTATTTAAAACAATAGGTTAAAATCGGGATCGAGTGGTGTAATTGCCACAATAGTCGAGAACAAAATACAGGGACAGATCTAGAAATGAAAAAAATTCACTTCAAATACATGTAAGTAATGTATATATATATAAGTCGTAGAAATAGGTTAGGTTAGGTAAGTAAGTTACATATTAAAAAAAATATATAATATATTCTAATCTATCGATTATTGTATTATAAAAAAAAAAATGACAAGCATTGAATTGGCTCCTAAAGAATATACAATTGAATTTTGGCTCCTAACAACAAGTGGTTCTCAAAATATACTTGAAGTGAAAGTTGAAAATGTACTAGACATTCATGACACAGTGCAGTGGGTTCAATTCAAAATTTGGAGCCAATTCAATTGCACCAAAAAAATAAATAAACTTGTAAAGCATAAATAATTAAGTACAAGATGGCCTTTGGTCCCCAAACAAAAGGGGGGGTGGGGAGGGGCATCTGTAAATAGTGATTTTTTTCCAAAAACAGTGTCAAACATTATTTTTGTTTACATTCTCCCTACTCTGCTTTTCTTATGTTTACAACGTCTGTGTCTAAAATTAATTAGTCAAATACTAGTTAGTACTTACGATTAGGGCGATCCTTAAAAATATCAACATTTTCTCGTTGAAATGGTAAACTTAACAAATTAAAAATTATCAAAAAATGATTATCACTACACCAACAACGTTGTATAGTACACTCCACACGACTGTCCGACAAGCTAATGACTAATAATATGATGGCACGGCTATCACATTTCTACTGTGTTTTTTTTTTTTACCCAACCGTTTGCTATCTAGTCTGTTTATCTTTTACTGGTTTCTAATAGTGTTTTATTTTCAAAACATTGTACATTGACTAACCGTACAGTACAACACAGACTTCGTTTACAGGTATACCTACCACTACTACTTGCTGTAGTTCCACTCTAAAAACGGTGTGCTGTGGTTTTTAGTATGGACTATAATACATATTAATACTATTATAGCTTCCCATTCACACACACACACGCCCAAGTCTACTACGGCTGTTTTTAACGTTTTTTTTTTTAACGAGGTCATATTTTATATAATTATAAATTATTACATTGTATTTACTACTGCATAATGACGCACACAACTCTGTTTATACCATGATCGACAATACCTGTTGATATAATCTCACACACACACACACAGCATTTTGGAGCGAAATTAGTAAAGAAGTATAATATCTTATCCAAAAAAAATATACAAAATAACACCTAGATAGTAATTTCTAACTATAGCGCCATAGTTAAATAGTTAATCCAACTGTATAACAGCTACAGGGTGTCACCTAAATTTAATGAGTTTTTTTTTTAACAAAATAAAACCTAAACATTATGTTCAAATCTGGTCATCAAATCTAGCGAGTAAGTAGGTAATTCTCAATAGCACACAAGGCTTCTTACCATAATCGTAAATAGCACATTAACATTTTATTTCTAACGCATGAAAATTATAAGAATAAACAAACGAATTAAGTTAGCTTACTTACAAGCAAGTCACACCCAATACCCTATCGTCGTTGTCTATAAAATTATTTATACTATACTATTATTTTATATTTTATATAGTTTTCACCATCTATACGGTTTTGGTTTGAACAGACAGCATTTATTTTCCATCTCTATTTCGCCACACCCGGAAATGTGTTTTATAAAATATAGATATGTAAAAAAAAAAGAACTATAACAATAATATAAATACATTACTATGCTTCTAGCGAAATTGTCAAAATGTAAAAAGCATCCTTTAACTTTTATTTGTACATACATATATGTCTTTTGTTTTCAGAGAATAACATATTGCATTAGATTTTATTTTTAAAAAAAAAGGTTCTTTTCTTTAAAACAAAAAACATAATATCATGGTTAATATGCCACATTAAATAACATTAATGGGTTATATTAAATATAACGTTTCCTGTTGGTGTAATGATAAAAAAAATGTGCAAAATATATTGTGCAACATCCTTGGCCATTTTTTTTTTGTTCAAAATTATTTTTTATTAAATTATTTATGTTTATTATTGTTATTTATATTTATTTGTATTTTATTAATTTAATCAACGGTTCGTTGTTTAATACATAATTTTGAATTTATTAACTACAAATTTATACTTTTTGATAAAAATCTAATTTTCAGGTGCCGAGTGGTTTTATTTAAACATTTTATTGCGTTTTTATAATTTGAATATGGTTTGGTAGTTGTTTTTTTTTTGTATTGTTTGCTCATATAACTAAAAAAACAATTTATTTTATTATTATATTTTATAGAAATGACGAATTTAACAATGTTCAAAAATGAACCTATTCATATGTTTTGCTCACAAATCATAAATAATAATATTAACACAAGAAAAATACATTCTTATAGATTCACAGAGATCCTTTTCTGAAACATAACAATTATTTTTTTGCGCTTCAAAGTATTTTTTTTTTTTTTGTCAAAACTGTAATTGCTGAATAATTATTAATAGTTTTAAATGTATGATTCAATTACAATGGCTATAAGTGTGTTAAAAAAATAAATAGATATTTTCCAAACCTGTAAATAAACAGTGTAACAGTGTGACGTTATTATTATTATTATTTATGTTTTTTTAGGAAACTAATTCCTCTAAAAAAGAATCGTTAACAGTGTTGTTTAATAAGGTGCGATAGGGTATAAAATACAAACTCGTCTGACAAATGTGACGACTTGAGCGCAAAAGGCACTTAAACAAAAAACAATTTTTGTGTAGTCATTATAAGTGTAATTACCGCGACGATTCGTGTCAGACGGGCAAGTTTTTCCTCGTTTGTCAGTCTTGTCTCTTACTCTATTCTATTCGCGGTCAATGTAATAATAATATTGTATTTATTGACCAACCCACAAACACACACAAACGGTTAAATAATTGTCGATCAGATATTTTTGAAATATATTTAAAAAAAAAAAAAAAAAAATACTTGAACGTTTGTTGTTGTATTACGGACTGCTGGCGAATAAAAAAAAAAAAAATACAAAACAATCGAGTTCGGTATTAAATTCCGACGAGGCCACCCAGGGGATAAAGCCTAAGTGATATATAGCTGGAAAAGTTTACAAACGGGAAACACGAGACCCCGGAAATACTGTCGACATTCAATCTCCTGCCATTTAGATCCGGCTTAAGAAACGCGCTAATTCACTTGCAACACTCTCAAGTTCGCGTGACAACGGCTAAACTAATCACATTTCATTTCCCCAACGGTTACAACAGTCTACTTGTTCACATCTATATAAATATTACAAAAATGTACTACTGTTAGGCGTTGAAAATAAATCAATTTAAATTAAAAAAACCGTTGTAACAGTGCGTTTAAATATTAGGGTGAACGCTCTTTGGGGTGGTTGATACTTGATATGGTCTATTAAAATATTTGCGGCAGTTGTTAACATACTATTGCTGCATAGTGTGTAATCAACAGCACCTGTTGATTGAATATACCTGTTGGATGAATGTCTATGTCGACTGAATACCTGTTAATCTAATAATACCCTTGTTCCCAGGGCGGTTTCTTAGGCACAATCCTAGGACTTGATAGCAGAGATGGACATTTTTTATTGTGGCTGTATGAATAATCAACTTTTATTAGAATCATTTTTTAAATAACATTTTATCTAAATAATGGCCAACTCTGCTCGTGAGGTATAGCTATAAATGTAAAGTCCTGATAACGATTCAAGGCTCGTTTCCAAATAAATAAATCTAGTAAAACCGGTAAGTAGCTGCAACGTTTTTCGCAGGTGGCAAAGAGGTGCTCTAACGGTAATTGGGGTAATTGAATGGTAAATGATTTAAAAAAATCTCTTTGTAAACATCAAATTTACAGATTGTATGATTTAATAAAGGAAGACAAAAAAGCAGAGATTCCCAATAATTGCATTGTACGGTGTATCCAACGATGGATGACGGGCAAGCTCAATTTTATTTTTGGAATTTCCAACTGTAATTCGTCCATCCAACTATAACCCTTTCGCCAGTTTTCCCAGGCTCTTCCGAGAAGTCTAAAGCACACAGTCTTGTCAAGACATTTTTCGTCCAAATTATTTGCAACCGCCATATGAATGCCAATATTATTATTACCATATTATTATGTAATATCACAACGACTATCGAAATTCTATTTCCAAGTTTGAACAATTGAAAATTAATCACCGCCCCACGCGAATGCCTTAGTAAATTCCCTTTTGACGATTTCATACAGTTTCTATTGTACCGTTCACTGTGCATTTAAGCTGCTATAAACAACTGAATGAGAGGGGAGGGGGGCTCGTTGTGGCTTTTCTTGTATCGATTGCAATATACAACGGTATCCGTTTTCTTGGGGGTAGCAAAAACAAATAAAAACAAATAAAAAAAAAAACCGTATCTCGTGCCAAAATCTCTGCTCGGCCATAATTTTTTTTCAGCCTTCTGCGTCAGTTTTTTTTTTAATTTAATAAAAATACAATTAAACGATAAACTGTTTTGCGCAGCATAACATGTGTTTACCAAGAGAGAATATTATATTTTTGTAAGTCCGCCACGGTCGCCCAGGGTAGAAATCATCATAACGAACGTAACAAAGGGTTAAGATATACCGACTGACTTTCGCCCCAATCAGAGTTCGTATTGTACAACATGATGAATATAAGCTTAATAAAATTGCCAAACTAAAATTAGATTATCCGACAGCAGAGATCGGATAAACGACGAGATACATGGATCGCCCTGTATGTTCGAGGGCTGTTGAACTTAGTTCTCGATGCCATCCAGTTTCTGTTATTATATTTTGTCAATATCGCCGTAGTAAGCAATAACATACGAGTAGTATGGAAATGTATGTAATTTCACCAGAAACAGCGACGGTCCGGCACGACAACAGACCAGCTGAGAATATAATAATAATAATAATAATGCGATTTCAATAGACATCTGATTGGGTATCGACGAATCTGCGGTATTTTCTATTTTTTTTCCCCTCCGGAGAATAATAATATTTTTATTATATGTTCTTGTCGTCGTGGCTTTATATATTTCCCCCTTTTTTGTCGTTTCGGTCAATCCGGCGCCACGTGTATTATTATCGACTGAGGCAGACGGCACCGTGTGTGTGTGTGTGTGTGTACAGGAAAGGGAGAAGGGGAGAAAAAGGGATAGGGGCAAGTTTGAAGCTGCCAGCAAACAACGGCGGCGGTAAGTCCGTCTCATTTCAATTCCACGGGGACCTTCCTTATGTACACAAACATCCGCACATCCCCATGGTGGTGACCTTTGGTTGATACAATAAACGATATCGGTTTTTTTTGGCAAAGATGTGTCACTGACCCTCCTGATGTCTGCTTAAACCGTCGAACCGAATTATTATTCTCGAGGTGTGAATAATAGACCGACGACAGATGTAGAGTGGTGATGATATACGGAAATATGTAGTAAAACTTGATCTTTATCAAAGAAAATGGAGAAATTGCACGCATAAACACTACTCATGAACTTAGAGTTGATTTTCTGTCTCCATCTCGTCAACCCTAATCCCCTCATATTTGTCTCCCAAAAGCGTGACCTGCACGTAGGCTTTGACACACACAAGACACTAGCTCAAAGATATCTTTTTACCACTCCGTTAGATCCCAGATAACATCAGGATTCCAGCATGGACTACCCACTGGTTGGTGTAGGAAATCCTTAGCAGAAATCATTGACAGAAATCACACTGCCCGTGTTCTCTTGGTGCTATTAGGGTTGTGTTGTGTGTTTCAAAAGAAAAGCTAGAAGCCACCGGCAATTTATCTAATTTTCAATCTCATCGGTAAACCGCTGACAATATAATTATTCATCTGCGCCATGACGTTGGACGTTACTCGATTGTTGGAACATTGAAATGGACTTTGAGAACAGCTATATTTCTCGCACCATTAGAGACAACTCGGTAGGCGGTATACAGCTGATTCATATATACATATATATATTACAGAGTGAATAACCGAGGGAATTTTCGCAATAAGTCGGCTGACGACGGCCCGGAGTAATGTGTTAAACCGCTAAACCTCTCCGTGGTCTCTAAATTAATATCAGCCGACCCGTTTATAATAATTTATTATTAACCCTATTAAATTCATCGCGAAAGTTCATTACACGTGGTGCTGCACTCGCACACGGTATATAGTTTTATAATCTAATACAGATGTACCAGCTCGGTGTAGACATATGACATTATGAAATAAATTTGATTGCCACGAGTACGGTCGAAGTAATAATAATTTTACCGGAGTCCTTCATTGAACCGGACGAGAGGGGTGTAAATTCCCGCATCCCTTGGGCCGTAAATTCCCTTCGACCCTGGAACGATAACAATAATTAATCCATCCGTCTGTGTATGATTATGTATTTTAGTTTGACAAAAAAAAATCTCAGTTACTTTGCACTTTGCACGGTAAACGCCATCACTATATGCACGGAAAGCGTCAGCGACGAACCTTCGAGCCTTTCGACATAAATATATTATTCTAAAAAATACAGTCTTCTGCAGCAAAACAAAATAAACAAAGGTAATACCAGCTGTTTTTTTGCATAGCAGTCGCTCTTACTGCGATATTAATTCAAATAAGACGCCAACGTTCGGTCCTTCGGGCCGGATATTAAATTCATCCTTTATTTGCCGAGCTTCCCCAATTGGAATATTAAAAATACTCTTTCACAGCCCATTCGTTTATTGTTGTTTTAGCGACAAACAATAACGATAAGTATTTCAATAGCGGCCGACTTTCCAAGAAGTCAAAAAAACAATCACAATATCCGAAAACCATACAATGAAAATCTTAAGACTTGTTCAACTAAACAATCAGTGTATCGTTAATGAATTAATTTATTCGATTTGTAAACAATATAATGATATATTATTAATGTTACGAATACTCAAAAGGGATAATATCAATTGGAAATACAATATAAGCCGTTAAAATTAAAAAAAAAAACAATTCTCTCAACCGTTAAGGAAAAACCTCGAAATAAAGGTTTAATTAAAAATGTTATTATTATTGTTATTCGTTTAAAAGCTTTGTTTTTTATTCATTCGACAAAATGATTTATTATTTAGATTCTCTGCCACTTATCTAATATCATCTTATCAGTTACCCAGGAAGGTCATTTATACTGATAACAAAAACCCTAGCGTCGACTCAGTGTGACCACATTCTAGAAACCAAAATTATCGTACAAAACATTTCACTATATATTATGTAATCGAGTATTTTTTTTTATAATTACCGGTGACGACAAGCAATACAAGCAGTTATTCTCATAGAAGGAATTTGTTTTCTACCATTGGTCATTCTGAGTTGAGGAGAGTTTTGGTTTGTTTTCATTTGCACCGTCTGGTTTTGTCTGATCTGTGTTAACGCCATCAGCTTTCTTCTCCTTTGGTTCCCCTTCTTCTAATCTGTGTAATTGGAAATTGTTGACAGTTTGGTCGTTTGATGACAGCTGCTTCAAACAATATAATATAGTAGAAAAATCCAATGGAAAAAAAAAGGACAATATTAATAATATTAAATACAGAAGACTGAAGAGAACCGCCTGCGTGACTTTCATTGCGTTTACAAGGACTACAGTAGCTTATAAGTGTTAGGTAGGTATATACATATTTTCATCGAGTTTCCGACAAACTACTTTTTGATTATAACGCTTTAAACTTGGGCGGTTTAAATTGACTTTGGAGTGGCTTTCGGAATGAATTTCACTTTTCGTATTATGCAAATTTTGAATTACTCGCCGGAAATTGCGCGGTTAAGCTATTTGCTAAATAACTTTGGACTTACCTGCGATAGGTGCTGTCTCTTCGGCTAAATTCCTTTATTCGTTTGAGAAAATATTCAGGTATTTCCAATAGTTGAACATAATACACATAACATATTGTCTGTATTGCTGAAAATCCTCCCCCCAGATCACGTTAACGCACTCCGGATCCGCCCCCGACAATTATTATACTAATTTCACACAGCAGGGTATATTCATTATAATATACTTATCCGGGAATTTTTGGGGTGTTTACATTTTATTTGTTTTATCAATGGCGAGAGAAAAAAAAAATAACAGCACAAGCGAAGTGAATTTTTTAACGTTTTTCCGAGTGAAAATACTTTTGGTATTTTTATTGATTTTTTTTTTTCTTGACAATAACAAAATAACTTGTTCCGTCTCGGTTTAAACAACGGACGAGCGATGGTTTTTTTTTTTTTTTTTTTTTTAAATCAAGTTTTCAATTATTTACAAAATTGTTTTGTTCAAGAAAACATTTTTTTTTTATCACTGTTTTTTATTTATTTTCAAAGATACATATTAAAAAACAATGTATACAATTTAACAATATATATATATATTGTTTTGTTGATAAATATCACAAAACTGAGAAAAAGTCTCAAAATTGAATAAACAACCTGAAACAAAGGAAGGAACTTGCCTCGATAGGGGAGGGAAACGGTGCACAAGTAAATAAAACGTCACCCGAAATGTGTGTATATAGTAAAGAAAATCTAGTAAACAGATCTAGAATAAAAGTAAATAGATCCGAGTACCTAAATGAGCAAACAACGAGACTAGTAAACGAGTCACCAAACAAACCGAGTGAATTAGTCAACGGGTCGAGTAAACAAAACGAGTATTTAGCGCGGCCCTTCGCGTAAAACGAGTAGTACATAAATTGAGTAAACGAGTAAAAAACACGAGACTAAATTATTAATTAACTAAAAGAGTAAATAAGTCGAGTAAAGCCGGTGGTACGCGAAACGAGCAAACAAACCGAGTAAAACGGTGTGTACACGAGTAAACACGAGTACGTTACTCGAACAGACGAGTAAACGCGAAAAATCTCTCTAGTTTTATTATTATCATGCTAATTTTTTTTTCTTCATAGGGAATTATCGCCAGCTCTTTCGAACCTCCCCCTCTCCTTATTTGCTCCAATACAGTCGTACACACATTGATTTTCGATCGCGGCCAAAAAGCACTCGCTCTCGTTGCCGTCCGGCGGCGGCGGCAGGCGTCTCTTGGGCACCGCGGATTCGGCCGGCCGCTGCCGCCGCCACCCCAGCGCAGACAAAGGGGATGCGTTTTATGTTTTGCGCGCTTTAGTGCCGAACACCGGTCGGCGGTGAGGGGAGAGGCGGGTTGGTGCCGGGGTGTAACACGGCGGTAACACAATATGGGTTATGCCGCGACGTGCGGGCGCCACGCACGTCCCTTTGGCGGCGTCAGGTTGACCGCCGGTGGGCGTGGCCGCGCCGTGCCGCCGGCTTATCGAACGCGCACGCGGCGCAACTGGTCGGAGCGGCGGCGTCGCGGCACCCGCGACGGCCGAGCGCGACACACCGACGGAGCGGCACCGCACACAGTGCCGCCGTCGCTCGAATGGCCCGGGTCCGCCGCATCGCGCCACCTCAGTAGTAGTCATATGGCTACGCGACGTCCACGGTGGCCGCCGGCTACCGCCGCCGGATACTATTACTACGCTGTCCTGCTCGCCGCAGTCGCCCTGACAGCGGCCGCGACGGCCACGCAGCAGCAGCACCACCTGGCCACCACCGCCGGTCAGCCGGCCCAGAAGACCGCGGTCAAAGATAAGTCGGGTAAGCCGCGCGCCAATACAATATGCAAACACCGAAACGATCAAACATTAACAATACATTTACGTTTAAATAATATATTATATATATATAGTTTATAAAATGTATTATTTGTAGCCCAATTATCTTAGTATACAATTATTAAGATCAACAGTTTAAGAAAGTAAACAATTTAATTAAGTACACATATTTATATATCAATCAATATGTCCATAGGCGACAGAGTTCAGAGGGTACCGCTCAAAACTATATGAAGGGTACAGGAAAAAATTAAGAAAAATCCCTTGTTTTTTTTTTTTAATCTAAGAAAAAACCCTGTTTAAAGAAATAATGTATTGCTTAACGGCCTTTTCCTATTCTGCCCCTGTACTCTTCATATTTTGGTTGACTATAAGTATATAAGTACAAACCTAGAAGTTGGCCAAGTTGTGTCTGGACAATTATTATCAGGTAAAAGTGATTTCAGACCGGCAAAAAAAGTTTCACTGTATAAAATAACACCAAAAAAAAATAACACAATATAATATTGTGTAAAAATGAATACATTTCCTGGTGGCAGTGTGGTAATTTTTTTTTTTTTTTTTGAGGGGTGAAAACGTTACCAAGCCAAAATTTGCATATTATTATAATTAATTGCCGCAACGACGACAAATATCGATTAAAATGTTTTAAAAAAATACAATAAAAAAACATTTCAAACAAAAGTCATGAACTAAATTTACAAAAAAAAAATTTTAAGGAGAACTCTAGTTTTCTTTCAAAACTCATAATGTACAATTTCACAGTTGTACTGGTCACTTTACACGTTTGAGTTTTTATTCAAAACAATAATTGTCAAATTTTCCTATATTAAACATACATATTTTTGAAAATTACTTACCCACAGCGACCGTTTGCTTAGCTAAAAAAACCTTCTTTTTTTTTTTAACTTCAATAATTATTTTACACTCAAAACTCAGGTTGGAGTTTCTGTCTGAAAGTATTTCCTAACTTATAAGTTTTTGGAAAAGTTGTGCTTTCCCAAAACGAGAAGCTGACATTTGATTTGATTTATATTGTGTTTTTTGCTACATTTCGCTTTCAACAAAACGTATACTTACTTGTGAAATTATTAATTCCGACCAGGAATAAAATCTTAATGTGGAAACCCAATTACAACGTGGTTGCCGCAAAACGGGGGGGGGGGGTTGTAAATTAAATATAAAGTTTAATAATTGAATAAAAAATAAGTAAACGTACAACTTTTTGTTTTCCAAAGAACAGAAGTGACCAATACTTTTTAAAAAATATCACTGCCAAACGACAATTCCACTATATTTTTATTTTAAAACGTTTAAGTAGATTAAAAAAATATCGATTTTCCCATACAAAACGTATTATGTCTTTTTAAATTGTTTACACGATGCAAAAAAATACAAATCGATTGGTTTAAGCCCTAAGTGTGCTCTCAGAGTAAATAGGCTTTCGATTAAAATACAACCACACGAATATTATTACAAAAAAAAAAAAATAACAATTTATTGTAGTTGAACACAACACAAATTAAAATAAATAAGCGACGCCAACTTGAATGTGTATCGAGTATCGACAAAGTATATTTATTGTATTTTGTCGACAAAAGCTCGTTTAAATAATAATATATATATATTTATTTTATTATACAATAATTCCGTTTAAAATAAATTGTTCGCTTTGAATGTAAAATCCGAAAGAAAAAAAAACTAAGAAAATCTAAATAAACAAATTATAAATCGTCGCCATATTGTGTTATTTTGTAAATATTATTTTGAATCGAAACGTTTTTTTCTAAAAATAAACGCTAAAAACTGTACAACTACTTTGGAAAAAAGACACAAAGAAGTCACCAAAATAAAAATGTAAGAATAACAACATTAAAGACTTACAAACGAATAATAAAAAAAGATACCTATTGACAAGACGCTTAATAAATAATAATAATATAATGTCACGTGACGTAGGTACGACGGTTTTTAATATTAATTAATTAATCTATTAATATTAGTTAATCAATTAATAATTAATATATTACATTTTGTACTTACTCGACTGGTTTTTTTTTTGTAAATTTTCCACAAAGACTCAAACGAGGAAAATAGTAATATATACATTTTGAAAAATATCTTGAGCCGGAAATTAAGTCTTAAATCTATTATTGTACAAGTGTTATTATTACATTGTGAATAATACAATAACTATACTGCGTTTACTATACTGTTAACTATTTGCTCTTCTTGTTGTGGGTTTTACACTGTGCATCATTGAGCACACCTGATTATATTTGACCAAAACATAGTTATAAATTAATGTTAATCAATTAATATCCACATTTATTAATTAATTTTAGCATTAGTTAATCGATATCCACATAATTAAACTAATAATCGCATTAATTATCCTAACGTTCGCATAATTAAATTAATTTTCACATTCTCGTTAATTAATTAATATTCACATTAGTTTATTCACATCGTCATTAAGAAATCAATGTACACATAAATTAATATAAATTAATTTTAATTCGTTAATGAACGCACAAGTGTGCGCCGGCGTTGGTTGTAGTTAAAGGAAACGGGGAAAACCCAGGTAAGTCACTTTGTTTTTTAAATCTAAGAAAATCAAGTTAAAACAATAATCTAAAATAAATGTTAAATTTTTCTTAACAATATATTACTCGTATTTAAAAATAAATAACAGAATAGTTTTGTACGAAAACGAATTTTTTGGCAACAAAATTGCCATTTTTTTTTTTTTCATTTAAAAAGCGACTTGTCTGTTTTTTCAATTGATTAATTTAACACTGATTAAATTACACGATCCGGATCGTGATCACGATATGGAATTAATCGTTAATTCACGCTTTTTTTTTTTTTGAGACACTTGTTGGGTTTTTTTTTGGTTTATGCACTTAACAATAATAACAGTGTTACACAATCTGATATTGCTATCGGTTTAATTAAGACATAACGATGCGATACGAGTCCCATCCGTAGGCCGCCGCATTGGCCGCGATGAATATGCCACCGACCAGCCTGTCGTCCCACGTCCAGTCTCGGTTGAATATCGCCAAGACGACGATCACCGTCGATACCAGGTGCAAGATTGCCCCCACGGCGGTCGTATAAAACGTCTGAAATGTACAAATAACACAAAAATAGTACACAAACCATAATATAGTAAAAATATACACAGCTATAACGTCATAAACGCCCTGTACGCGGCAGCGATTTAACCCTCCGGTGGGCGCGCTTTTCTTGTTATCATAAGGAAACAATGAGATAACAGCATCGGTGCTGCCACGCGGCCGCCGGAGGGTTAAACGAGAGGGCGAGCGACAGTGTGACCACATTAAATAAACTATAGATATTGATAATAGATGAGTGATAATAGGTATTGACGGGTGATAAAACAGATCAAAGATTTCGGTTAGTAACTCCGCTGCTGGAAAGTACCTACAAAGAAACACGGACGTGTACAATTAAAGGATCCTGGTACTTCGGGCACTTCCTCAACTAATCTCTTACCACTTATCTCTAATCTTAATCAGAGTGACACATTTTCACGATGGTTGGATTTTGTGCACCGACCCCCAGCTATAATATCTATATCGATAAATACTTTTTTGTATAGGTCGTTGAGCACTGCACAGTATGATCCTCATCAACTATATAGATACAGATCAGTTGATAAACTCGAATTTCACATTTATAATGTAACAATGTTTTTATAGAACATTAATTTTCATTAATCTGCACAATATCCGCCCTAGCGGATCACTTCTGCCGGAGGCCCGTCAAGCATTAGATAAGGATTTCCTGTTGCCGTCAACGAAGCTCTTGTATAGACATTTCCCGTTGCTATTCTCCTGTCTACTCAATTTTGACATCATAATATTTGTATACAACACTACAAAGTCTGGGTAACCGATATCGCGAATAAACCTGCCGAATCATTAAGAGATTTGGTATAGGCAGAATTAAAAAAAATATATAATATTCTTTCATAACTCATCGGCTTCTGATTTTCTGTTCTCTTATCAACAATACCTTATCAATAATCTCTTATCATAGTTATTGTGAAAGACAAGTCATTCTTTGAGTCTTAAAAAAATCGTTTTTATCGTTCTCGAGGTGTAAACCGAAAAATAATCGTGATATTAATTTAAAAAAAAACATAATTAATGACATAATAAATCGAGGTCTTGATCTTCCCATTAACGTCAACCCAACGCGTTTTTATGATAAACAATACAGTGGCGTGCCCGACGGGGAGGAGGTGGAGGACATGCGTTGGGGGGGGGGACGTCCCGTCGTCTTGAGTTATTAAGTTTCCGCATATTATAAGCAAGGAAATGTTTTAAAAAATGTAAATAAAACGTGACATCATTGTGAAAAAAAATACAATTTATTTTTAAAATCTAATCTCTAAACAATTTTTATAGTTAACAAAAAAATGATCTAAAGTCGTCTAAAATCACATATATACAGAATGATTCTTTTATCTTACAGGGTTTAATAAGAACATACAATTCATTTTTCATATTGTTCTTATATAGGGGTTGAAAATCAAAATTATTGTGAAAAATCACGATCACATAGTATAAAAACATAATATGAAAAATTATTTTTAATCCCTATCAGCTATTGAGTGGCCCATGGTCAAAGAATCACCTTGTATATATAATAAACTAGGTTGGTAAGTGTACTTGCTGCCAGTAGAGACAATTGAAGTTACCATTTTCTGCAATGTTTGTGGGAATTAGAATCTTATCACATGAAAACATGTTTATAACACTTACAAGTCACAGACTTCTACACTAGTTAGTGTACAAGTTAAGTTGATAACACAGAATCTCAGATATATATATATATATCTGTGTCTAAAATAAAGCGTTTTTATTTTGTGGGTACCGTCGGTTTACCGCGGTGGTTAACCGCGGTATACCACAACCTGGGTTAAACATAGTTACCGTAGTTAAACCGTACAATGTTCCGTTAATTAATAACTATTCCAATGTACTAATAATTGTTCGTGTAATTAAAATTATTTAATTTGGACCTTACACTCGAATGTCTCGAATACATAATATTACATTTATACCAAAATGCGAAACGGTAAAAGGTCAAACAAGGTAACCGTATTAGTATATTTTGAAAAACACATGTCGCACTTCACACACGACGAATTAATAATATATTATAGTCCCACTACAGCTTGCGATCAATACCGACCGGTCAATTATTTATTTATTACTGCTCAGCCATAGGTGGCAACACTGGGGGGGGGTGGAACATGACATAATATGATAAGTCTTACAATGTTTTTTTTTTTTTTACATTTTACAATAATAATAATACAGTCGACACAGGCAATGTCAACACGATTGACTTTATTATTATGAGTTTTTCTATACCAATATTTGTGTTCACCCTCCCACCACCAGTTTATTATTATTTATTATAAATAGAAATAAAATAAACCGTCGGTTGGTACGCGTTTTTGTGTATGGAAATAAAAAAAACATAATGTAATCATATTAACGTATCGAAAATTCGTGACATTCCTATCATTTTAGAACACAGCAATATTATTATTACAACGAGGCTTGAACCGTTTTTTTTGTTTTTGACATGGTTTGCCACTACACTATTGCATGGAAATTGGCAAAAAGTCCTGACATTTTATTTTCATATAAACACAACAACGTTTTTTTTTTGAAGTGTCGACGCGGAAATAGTGTTATTATTTGTTTATCATTTTCCATTGTTATCATATAATATGTTAAAGTCGGGCCGGCGATAGACTACATTTTTCAAAAAAACCTCACCTCTCTAAACTAGGAGTTGTTTAAAAAAAAAAAAATATTATTATTATTTAAGCTCTGCGTTTCCGAAATTATATAAACGGATTTGCAACATAGGAACATGTACAAAATTAAAAATCAAGCCCTAACCGTTTTATCTTTTCCCAACTCTAAACAACTGGGATCATGTTTTTTAAAAAAAAACTTATTAAAAAAAATGATTTTTGTTTATTCAAAGTGGTCACACTGTCGCTCGCCTTTGCCACATATATTAACCACAGACAATAGGAAAACAGATAGCTCACTCAGCGTGTAAACAAAAACCATGAAGTCACATGACTTAAAATGAAAATCAGTGTGACCGCAGACTCGAGCACAAAATTTCACAAAACTATATCACAGATTAGACAAAAAGAAATTATCCAATCCGTGACAAGTGTGACTTAGTGCACACTTGTTATAAGTACACTTTTTGATAGCAGAAAATTATTTTTTTTTTATAAAAGTTCTTGAAATCTCAAATTTATATTTGGTGTGATATTTACATTTACAATGAAAACTTTGAATGAAATGTAATTTCCTCTTCCGGACAATGTCAATGTTGTGACTTAAACAAACGTGCGCTGGGCCATCGATATAATCTGTTATCATATTTAAATCATATGATTGATAAGAAACTCGTACAATAATATTGCAAAATACATATGCTACACTGATATCTTCGCGAGTCTCTGATTAGGTTTTTTTTTGAAAATTTCCTTTGTTTACTGACGAGTGAGGTATCTGTTTTCGTATTATAGTCTGTGTTTTAACTCTATGATGTGTAGTGTGACTTATATTTATTTAGGATAGCTAAGAGATCCGTTCAGTTGACACTGTGATGCGATGTGCGTTCAATTTCGTGTTAAAAATGTCCTAAGGTCCTAAGGTCGTGTGTTGGATGAACACAAACAATAACAAATAATAATAGCATGACAATGGAATTCTATACAATATTCCGGTTAGCCAATTTTTGTGAGAGACCCTTTGGAGTTGCCTTTGGGCGTTTGACAAATGCGAAAAAAGAAAAGTAGGGGACGTGAACGGTCGTAGTAAATGAAAAATAAACGTCTCTGTTCGAGAAACAATAACAAGACGTGATAAATTATATGAAAATAGATGATCTTCCCGGCGGGTGCACAACAAAAAATATAAAAAGAATAAAAATAAACGGCGTTTGATGTAAAGGCACGCCAGAAATCTGACTCGAGACCCGTTTTTGAAATATTAACCACAATGACGTGTAATTGATTATACCGTTTTGCCAGACGTGTCGAAACAACAGAACATGGATTGTATTTTTTTTTTCCCATCCTTTTCTACCATTTTTTTTTTGTTTGTATACTATCCGATTAGGTGTCAAAAAAAAAAAACAATAAATAATACTACTACTTTGGGCTTAACCCGCCCGTTTGGGTTTGAGAATTATTGAAATCATTTTTCACAGTACAAAATAAACATAAGTTGCTTATGTTTAGGATTTAGTAAATAAAAAACAAACGAAAATTGAAATTATTTAGTACTTACACTTTGTGTACAAAAATATTAATAAAAGATCATGCGACGTCTAAATTAATTCAGACATCGGTTCTAAATATATAGACAATTGAAAAAAAATGAAATAATTTATTATTCTAAAAAAAAATGAAATTCTGTTGTACAATGTAAATCAATATGTTACTAAAAAAAAGATAGTGTTTGAATAATATCATCTAATCGATATAAAAAATAATGGGTATGAATAATTATACAACTAATGTTATAAGTAGACTGTTTTTTTTTATAAAAATTACCCAAGTATAACAACTTCAGTGTACGTATGAATTTGGCAGTTTATATGTTAACATTTTTAATATTGATTGATCAAAGTAGCGCCTAATTACTACAAATCACACTTGTACTGAAAATACTAGTGCGACAAAAATTTATCTAGATTTTTTTGGTTTGAGTATTTTTTTTTTTTTTTTTAAGAAATCGGCTGGGTCAACCTGTGCGGTATCGATTGAACGACTTTGGAATTCGCTGAATTATTTAATGTTCGTGCTATGACGTTATGTATTCGAATTAAGCGTCTTCGATAAAAGTAACGTGGAATTATCGACGACCGAAAGGGTTTCAAATTTTAATTGTATATATATATATATATTTAAGACTCTTAAACCGCTGTTTGTTTGTTCTTAAGTATCGTGGAAATCTGCTGAGCAAAGAATGTGCAACCCTTTAAATTTCAACAAACCGTCATAACTCCAGACGACTATCCTTCTGGGAAAACACAAATATTTGAACAGTATGCACAGCTAATTCCCACGTTGTTCAAACTTATCTCATGATTAATGATTACATTTTTTTTTTTTTTTTTTAGCCGCCCCGAGGGTTTTTTTTTTTAATTACAAATATAATATATATATGTATTTATAAAACAATAAACACACAGAGTACCCTTCTCTTTGATATTTGAAGGGGTGGAGACTTTTTCTATACTTCTCTTTTCCGAACAAAAACTTGGGACTTTACGTCTGAATATTAGACTGAGGGTAGATCTAAAAGCGGGTCAAACTTTTTTAAGAATTAAGAAAAACCCCCCCCAAAAAAAGGAGGGATATTACACTTTGGCCGTTGTAAATTTCTAGGTTGCTACGTGTCAACGAATCGACCCAGTCAACGGGTCTTCGGAAAATAGTTTTATTATATTAATATATATACAAGGTGTTCCAGCATGAAAAGTAAGTAATAGGTGATTGGACATCTGGGGGACCCCCAAAAAGACCCCCGTTTTCATTTTTTCGATAAGTAAAAAATTGAAGATTTCGACAGTTTTAAAAAAAAAATAATGACTTTAAAAAAAAAAAATTATTTCCCGTTATTCAGTGCAAAAAGCTCAACTTTTAAGATGGGTCACATCATTTTCAGTCTTTTTCAGCCCCTAACTCAAAAAATGATAAGAGAAAAATGATTTGTGACCAGAAATAAATGATAAGTGATAAAAGGTAAATGCTAAGACATAGTTTATAAGGATAAAAGAAAAGAGATCATTGGTAAGAGATAAATTATGAGAGATTAGAAATGAATGAAAGATGATAGGTGCTCAATGATAAGAGTTTGGAGATAAATAACTAGAAACAAGAGATAAGAAATAAATAGTAAGATATTAGTGATGAAAGATAAATGATTAGAGACTAGAGGTAAGGAAAAAAAAGATAAGATAAGTGATAAGAAAAGAGATAGGGGCTGAAAAAGACTGAAAATGATGTGACCAGAAGGGGGTTATTATTTATTTCTTATCTCTTGTTTCTAGTTATTTATCTCCAAACTCTTATGATGTGACCCTTCTTTTAAGGTGAGCTTTTTGCACTGAATAACAGGGAATAATTTTTTTTAAGTCATTATTTTTTTACTTAACTGTCGAAATCTTCAATTTTTGACTTATCGCAAAAATAAAAACGGCGGGCTATTACTCTCACCTATTACTATTACTATTACTATCGCGGCGGGCTATCACCTATTACTTACCTTTCGTGCTGGAACACCCTGTACATGTTTTCGACTCCTAATGTGTCCGAACATTAAGGTTAGCTTGTGTACTTGAACGAGGTCTTTGATCTGCACCGATAACATCAAGCGCCGGCACCCGAGGTCGGCGCAAAAGGTCAAAGATTTCCATGCCCCCGGAGGGACCATTAAGACCAGCCCGTGTGTGCGTGCGAGCTAAAAGGATTAGTTAGACCTTTCGCCTTTCAATTCAGGGGAGGTTGGTGGGTGGGTCTAGGGTCATTAAACGCCGTTCGTTTAACGTGGTCAAAGCCGCGTGTGTTGTTTACCAGCTTTTCCGACATGGATTCGGATCTGACCAGGCTGGCCAACACCACTATGCCGATGCCCAAGTATCCGTAAATGGTCAGCAACACCAAGTCGCTCAGCAGGGCGCTGTTGGCAGGCCAGGCGGCTTGTCCGAAAAACGGCACGATGCTCAATACGGAAAGTACCTGAAAGTAAAAATAAAAAAAAAAAAAATCGTAGTATAGAGTAAAAGAATTTAGAGCTGCGACGTCATATTATTATAATGCATACTCTATTAATTGTAAGTTGTACTGAACACTGCACAGATCAATGGATAAATTCGAATTTCACACGATAATGTTATAACTGATAAGTCATATTATGTTTTTATCACGCCCTCGCAGTAGTGAAACAAAATGAAAATCGTGTACCAGAGAAATGTAATTTTGTCATTCTGGTCACACTGCACCTCGCCTTTTCGCTTACTTCATAATATTTTCACTTATTGCGACCCCTTGTAATATACTAAAAAAGCAGTAAATTTAATCTTTTCTTTTTTTTTATAAACGAAGGTCTTATAAATATATGTCTGACCTACTAAATCTGAATTCACTAACATAAAGATAAAATGTATGAAGAGAAAAATAATCGAGAAAATCTATTGGCATTATAACAACTATATATATACACGAGGTTATGCCAAACTTCTTGGTCGAACAATGAAACACAAAAGGGTTGGAATTAAATCTGCATCAAGTATTCGAATATTATTATTGTGGAAATATTTGTGGCTATGTAATAGTAATAACTTTGTATCGGCTCTAGTTTGTAATGACTTATGTGTATACTCATTACTCTATAAGTAAACACTGATGATACGAAAAAAATATAAAACCGAGGAATCTATTTCAAATGTTTACTTCTTGTTTAAAATCTAAAAACTACATCATGTTGATGATGATGATTAGTCATCAAAAACAATATTCGATGACTAACATAATATTATCTGTCGTTGCCCCCAAAGTGTTTGCGTTAATCCTGAATTATCAAGAAACTAGTCACTGCTTTTGTATTTGCCTAAATAAATAGAATAACCGATGTGTAATTTTCATTCGAAATTGCATACTATTCCGGATAACTACTTGAAATCGCCAAAGTTGTCTTCAAAGATGAGTTGCTTGAAATCGTATAAACTCATATTGTACAATCATATTGCCTATTGTCATAATATTATAGTTTACAATAGAAAACTACTATTTTCCTCCGAGTAATGTGCTTGGAAATGAATAATACTATTGCTAATGTTTTACTTTTTTCCATATTACAAACCACTTTTTCTGGGCCTCCACCAAATCAGAACCGAAATCACGTTTACGAATTATCGACAGTTTTTACAATGCATCTACTTATTTACACAGCTCATCCACATGTGATTGATAAATTGTCTAAACTATTGTTAAACTCCTCAATAGATTTTGCCTCAAGGTCCCTTATAATAAATGAATACTGTTATTTATCAGTGTTAGGCAATATGCAGTGCTGTAAAATATTTCAATATCCAAATTCTTTTTCAACAAAACTGACTGATTAAATTGATTATAACTAATTGGAAAAAATTAAAACTTTTTTTTTTTGTATTTAAAAACTGACTTTGTCCGAAATCATAGACATTTATCTTTTAAACGTCGTTTTGAGGGTATACGTTACGTTTTATCAAATTATACTTTTTACCCTGTTGAATTAAATTAATGTACAATGTTTTTTGTTGGATGACGTACGTGTAATTGCACCTGTATGGTTTTTTTTTTTTTGTAAAAAATAGTTATGAAACATTTACCGACAACATTTCACACTATACGATTTTGGTAGGTATTAACGGGCAAATTACAAAACAGGTTACCATTGAATAATATTGTACAGTTGCAGTGGCACGTTTGAAGTTTTCACATTTAGCAAAACCACTGTTAATAAGGAAATGCACCTAGCTGTAATTAAACCACCGTTGCTCGGTCATAAGAGCTGTGTACCGTGTTTGAAAATTTCACTTATGCTAATTGAATTATACAATAGAGCAGTAGCAAGTCTTGAAGAAAATACAATTTCCCTCCTAATATGGTTCAACACGTACGGTACGTTAGAAATACTGGGAAAACTTCATAATTATAATATATGGACTACTGAAAAACTTTATAATTTATTGGCTAAACAGCCGACAATTAAGTCTTGTATTGATTATTATTTATTATAATACCTCTGAGAGTACTTGCAGTCTGTGGGAAAATTCGTTTTGATCATTCCGTTTAACATTCTACGGTTTTAAAAAAGTTTAAAAGAGAAAAAAAAAATCATTTTTTTAACAAACAAGACACATTCGAATTTTTCCCAGAAACGATTATACGTTATTCTGAAAATACTTTATTTCAGATACAACTTGAGTGGTTTTTTTTTTCCAACACTTAAAATACAATGTGGAAATGTTTACACATAACTTGTACTATAACAGACAACTACGCCAGATAACAGCTCGGCGGTATTAAATTTTATACCGACAACTTGATGGTTTTTTTTTAACTAATTAATGTATCTTCAGTGTAGTTGTAGTTGGTAAATTGAAATTTATTACCCGTTATAATGTACAACGAATTGCATTAGGAGTGAAATACAATTTCGATAATTGGCAGAGGAAACAGAATAGAACATTTTTAACAGTTTTAAATTTTGATCATTTTGAGTTATACCAATCAGCCACCCCGTTTTGAATGCTTGATCATTATTAAAACAAAATAATAATAATAATAATAATTTTTTTCGCCGTTTTCCGCATAGGTTAATGTCCATATTTTTGTCAATAAAATGAAACGGTTTATTAAAAAAGTAATTTAGGAATGCCAGCGAAAGAAGGATTTGCTTAGAGAAGTTGGATGTTGAAAATTATAACTACAAAAAATATATAAAATTCGGTAAAAAAAAAAATGTTTAAAAATGTTTCCAGTTTTGTAGAAAATAACTACATACATAGTATGTTATTCACTTAAAAGTTCATAAATCGCAAAAAAATCTGGCGTCGAACGCAAAAAATCTAACACACCCTTTACCGGTAAAAGACAAACATTAATATTTTCAACCTAACCTAACCTAGCGTGTTGACGAACAGGATTTTTAAGCAAAGCAAAAAAATAAATCACTCACCACTTCCAACAGTTTAATCCGGAACACGATGGAATCGGTCAGCTCGGTCATTTTTTTTTTTTTTTTTAATTTACAAATGCGCTTCTTTTTTACTTAAAAAAAAAATATATATGAAATTAAACGGTCTACGCGTTCGAAAGCATAGTCGACGGCATCTGTTGATTTCTGTACGATGACTAACCGGCCAGAAAGAGAGAGAGGAATATCCGCACGGCCCACTATCGGTTATCTATTATTTATTTTACTTATTTTTTTTTTTTTTAAGGTGAGGTTTAGCCGCTCGAGGTGAATACCTAATGAGCAATGATATAACATATATAACAATAATAAACGTTTATGAAAATATATCATGCAGCAAACGGCACACACAAACGCGCGTGGTACGCCCCCGTTTTACTTTTTACGGCTACTAATATAACATGAGAAAAAAAAAATTCAAAAAAATTATTATTTCAAAACAGTCCATATTGTTTCTAACGGTATCCGTCTTTTGAATTTCCCAGTGGCCCACGGTGCGGCTAATATGCTGATCCTACAAATATCTTTAATCCCTACACACTAGGAAAGTGGTGATTTTGTAAATAAATTGGTTTTTTATCACTACTTACTATATTTATTACCTTAATTGTTAACTTGTCGTTGTATATGTTGAGCAAAAAAAGAATAAAGTCCGTGTTATTATTTATACTGTACGGAATTTTTATCTCGAGAAAAATATGGGCGTTTTGTAGTTTTAAAAGACCGTTTCGGATTTAGTAAACGAAAGAGGAAATTGAAATTATTTAGTTTTCTCATTTTGAGAACAGTGACATTTTATTGTACAGTGTAATTGATAAGTTGTTAAAAAAAAATTAAAAGTGCTAGAAACCATAGAGGGATGTACACGATTTTATGGCATTAGAGACTTTAATAGTCAAATTTGTATTGGTTAATAAGCATAGGCACAATTTGGGCGGTGACTCGGGTGTGCTTTTGAAATAAGCACCCCCAGAGTAGTTTAAGCCTACACTCTTCATCAGGTTTCTAACGGAAATGTGACCCTGGAAGTATTTTAGGTAATTCAAAAAAATGTATATACAAGAAATATGGTTTCCAAAGCGTTTTTAATAGATTAATGTAAATTGTTGTTGTCAAAAATTATCTTTAAAAAGTATATAAAACAATAACTGATTATTGAATTAGAATATTAAGTGTAAAATATACTTAATGGACATAAATTTGTATTAAGTTTGTTTTTCAAAATAAAATTTCACCCAACACTGTAAATATGAAATATATAAATTTGTATTTTTTTTTCCAACATTACATTGCACACAGCAGCTGATGCAGTCAAAACGGCTAGTACCACATGACATGAACAAGTTTTAATATAAAACATGACGATTTATATTACATAATAGGGGGGGGGGAGGGTTTGTTTGATATAAAAAAATAAATCGCCACTAAACCCATTTCGTTTTATATTCTATACATGTATAATAAACCGGTGTAAGTATAAAAAAAAAAAAAAAAATGCGGGTGTATAGTATTTTATGTTGTGATTTACTGGTGCGTTTTGTGTGGACTACATAACGTTTTATTAATTTTTTTTTTTTTTTATTATGAATTCCGTCCGTTATACGGCGAACCGCATTATTTTTATTGTATATTGTTATTTTTTTACATAACTTATATGATATCGTGTTACATCCCGGTAAAGTTTCCCGCTGTTCTTAAAAAAGCGGTTTAAAGCTCTTCTTCAGCCTAGTCGAGAAAGTGGTTCATAATGTTTTTACAATAACGTGTTTACATTTTTTTTTATTCTTGCGCTGAGATCCTCGATATCAGAAATTGTACCTAAACGGTACTTTATGTGGCTAAAAGCTTGCAATAAAAAGCCACCCCCTTCCCCTTTCGAAAAACACCCGAATGATTTACAATTTTTAAGCACATTGCAGCCATTTTGGATGCTTTTTAATTTAACCCAATGTGATTTGGGGTCTACACTATGATGACCACGTTCTGGATTTTTTTTTTTTAATATTTCAAGAACCGAATTTGTCATAAATTTCAATGGGAATTTGCGCGTGCGTTTTTTATGAGAATTTTGTATTTCCCATTATTTGGCAGCTTTTTACCACTATCTGTGGGCCGTACGGTGTCTAGGGCCGTTTATTGTCGATTTAATAACAATTAATATTATATTATCGCGAAATCGAATGCAAATTTAAACGGACAGTGCTAAGAGCTGTTGTCTCGCTAAAGCATTAATCACCAGCAAACAAACGAGCGAGACACGGATTGATTGATGTACTGCGAAGATAATCGACAAGATCGTCGAAGCTCAAGAACATTAACGCCATTGGAGAAATGAATGGATGAATATCGTCGGATTCCCGACGGTCAATCCCAGGCTGTATTGAAAGAATAATTTATTTTCATTTGATTAGGTATAAAAAAATCGAAAAAAAAAAATAATGAAGAATTGTTTTTCCGCCGTTACACTACCAAAGTCTTGTCGTACAATTTTCTCTAACGAAGAAAATCTAATAATATATTAAGGTGAATTCGTAGATAATTAATAAAAAATTCCAAAATAATGTTTGCCAAAACAACCGTTTGTGTATAACAATGTTTATACAAAACCGATTTAACATTCTGATCAAATCTGATCATCCGGATATTTTCAACGCTAATATGTAAATTTAAACACTTAAGTTTGGTTTTACTATATATGCTTGCCACTCGTTCGTCAAAAAAAAAAAATATGTTCACTGTTTCCTAGGTAACAACTACATACATATTGTAATATTTTCTAAAATTTCATAACACAAAAATCGTTTCAAATTCAAAACTAACCCACCTTTTGCTGATAAAAATATCAGATATTGATAAATGCAATATTAATGATCTTTCGGTTTGTACACATTTTCACATTAGGTGTTTATTTTTTTTTTTATTCTAGTATTTTATATACAAATATGAGCAACGCGGTGGTAACGTACCTTAAAATATGTACCTTACTCGAGTGTACGCCGACAGATAAAAAGCGTTGGTATAATAATAATAATAATAATGCTATGGACTAAGCAAATACTGATTGTTGTTAATCTTTTTAAACGACTTTAATCTTACACAAACGACCGGGCGACAAAAAAACACCGTCACCGTCGCTAATCGCCAACAACAAGCGAATATATTTAACCAGAAAAAAAAACACACACAGAACTTTTACAACATACTGTAACATTTAAAAAACGCTATTATATCATTTCCAGGCGTTTCCAAAATATTACAACAGATAATTGCAACACAAGAGGAATTCTATTTCATTTTTATATAGACCTTTAAAAAAAAAAAAAATTACTAAAAAATGAAATAGACGATTAGTTATTTCAAAATCATTATTTGTCATTTACATAGAAATTGCTCAGGTCTGATCTCATACATAATAATAATAACATGACAAAATATGTCTGTATAGTATATGCATACAAAAGATGGGCGGGGCTATTATGATATCTTGCACAACTCAACTACTTAGCAAAAAGGCTGTAAAGCGACACACTCTCGAGTGAATTTCCCGGCTTTGCCCGTGATAACATACCTATAAATATATTTAGACTATGGTTTAATTTTTTTTTTTTTTATTATATGTCGAGTCGTCCAAATTGACATAAGTTACCTACAGAAAAATAAAAAATAGTCATAGCTCAATGGAATAATATTATCAAACCCACGGTGTATCTCTTACACGGTACGATTAATGTTTAGAATGTGTATTAAATTTAAAATTAAAAAAAGCTTTAATTAAATACTCTCGTGTTGGCACTTAATTAAACAGTAGAAACTATTAAACTAATCTCGATCCAATAAGATTCGCTACTTTCGGGCTGAACCCCTTTTGTTAAAAAAAAAAAAGAGAAGACACCGGTTCGAATAATCTCAGTTAATCCCCTCAGGGCCAAAACTTTTTCACATTATCAGTGTATATTATTTTTTTAAGAATAATCAGATACCGTTTTAACGTGGATATAAAGGGGAGAGGAGAGGAGAGGGAAGGGGTAGGCAGGTGCGCATTTATCAAATCCGCGGTATTTCTCGAAGAGTGATCATTTTCGGTATTTAAATTTTACAACAAAATTTGAACTTAAAAATGTTTAGCCATCCTCTTCGTGTCACTTCAAAAGTAGAAATTCAGTTGATAATAATTTACTGTTTACCGGACAAAGTCAACGTTGTGGTTGATTATGGTGTTCGCCATAGTTCACTGATGATTAAATAGTATTTCTCTAATTATTCATTAACAGACAACGCTGCCAAGCCATTCCAACGTCGCGTTTGTTTTTCAAGTGACCTACCCCACGTGTTAGAAGCTGCCTTGAATGTATCAGCCGTAGACCTGAAATGGCTATTCATTGATTTTTTTTTATCTTTTTTTTTGCTGATAAGCATATCAATAATTCTGGTTGACACATTCTGTTGACCAGGATACATCATAAATGGACATTTTATGGTTGGCCCTCCCTCTTGGTGAGCTGCGCCACTTTCGGCAAATGAGCCATCAAATTTGCGATTCTCTTGCTAGTACATTGTCTTTTGACAATTACATTATATTGTTTTTAATTGATTTGTTGTAGAACTCCAAAGGGCTATCGACTGGCTGACTTTGCAGAGGGGTAAAGACTGGGGATGGGGCAGCGGAACGGAGACGGCCCGAGCGATCGTCGCGATGGAGATGACCAAGACCGGAGGACGTCTGGAAAGAGAACTGAGCGCCAAGCAATTGGAGATTGATCTTTTGGCCAGACTTTGGCAGCACCACGATCCAGATTCGGTGACCCTTCAGCAGCAAGACGACGAAGACGAAGCTCTGACTGTAGCCAACATAGCAACTTACTCGTTGGCGTTGGCCAGTGCCTGTCACGATCCAAGGCAATTTCACGGACACGATTTGATCGGTATCCATATTTCTGCTTACACGTTAAATGTCTGTATTAACATGGATATGTTTTTTTGGCTTGTGGGTCTCTATCTAGAATTATCGTCATGGCGACAACGAAAGGTTAGGTAAGGTTTTACGAGGAGGTGTGTACAACCAACCCCCCCTGATTTGCAACAAATTATACCAGGGAAAAAAATTGTGCGAGAGGATGGCAGGAAAAACTAAGATTAGTAATAAGAGACGGCTGATAATATCTGGAAACAGCGTCATCGCAACACCGGTACGCGAAAGTGAGGGAAGAAACGGAAAGGGATATTTCCTTCTTCTAAGCCAAAAAACATGTCCATGATTATATATATTTCCAACAACGTCAGTAGTACAGCCACGATGAGTTTCCATCAAGGGTTTGTATAACCCTTCCGGAAATTGTATTGGATCATTTATTGGACATCCCGGATTATTTGACCTTGTGCCACACATAACACTGCCCAACATGTCGGTTTACTTTTCATGATCGGCGACTCCTTTTTTTGTACTTTCATACTTATTCGTTGCACGTAAACTCTATATTCCTATTCAAACCAAACACCTGCCAAAAATGATTCATTCAAGTGTCATTTGCTTTTGTTCGTCTATTTTCGTTGTACCCTTATGTGACAACTGACAAGCGTACAATTCGACTGGGTGTACCCGCGACCTTTGTTACAAGTCCGCCCTAGCTTTGGCCCTGACTGGCGCTTTTGTGTGGTATATCTTTGGTTTGCCTCGAAACAACGACCATAACCCATTTTTTTTGTTTTAGGTTCTTTACTTCAACACGAAACCATTTCCGATTTGGACTTCTCGTACAGTTCTTTGGTAGCTTGCGAATCGGGAACGCACGTCAGGAAGAGGCACATTAGGAGATTAATGGAAATTGCAAACACAAAGCATACAGTCGGTAAGTCAGTTGGTGTATATGAACGCGGACCACGGTCCGGATGATTTAATCTTGTCAGCCGGAATTATTTGTTCTGTAGATTCACTGAGCGTGGCTATACTGGCACTGCAGTGCGTTGAACACGACCACCGCAACAGGAACGTAAAACCTTTGCTGAAGAAACCGTTGGCCACTCTGATGGCACTCCAGCAACCGGACGGAGGATTCGGTAGCCTTCACACTACCGCTTTGGCAATCCGGGTAAGACATCCGAGTCGCGGACGTCCTGCTGTGAGGTGTTTTACTTATGTGTGACGCCGGCTTATGTGTAGGCACTGCAAGAGGGCAAGGCCATTTGGAACCGGACTAACGCGGTCGACTGGCTGTTGAATCATCAGGGACCCGACGGCGCCTTCTTCGACGTGACCACCACGGCCGAAGTGATAATCGGGTTGGCTCGCGTGTCCGGCGTTACCGAAGGAATAGCCGACCATTGCGACGTGCGACCGGGAGCAGGTGAGTGCGTGCATTTGAGCAAAGGGAATGCGAACGGAGATTATGAGTTGGGCGGCAATGAACGGGAGGAAACGGATTAAAGAGACGGGGGAGCAGAAAGAAGAACGGTAGGTGTGAGAGATCAGGGGAGGGAGAGACCCGGCAAGAGATTGCCCTCTTTCGCGTCCCACCCCAATATGGCTATCTTTCTGCCTTCCCTTTTTCTCTCCCCACGAATGACCGTCCAAATGGCTACGTTGTATGGTTACAGACAAAGACAACGTGGGCACGGCGGTTATTATACCGCACCCGACACCGGTGCAGAGCAAATATCCGGCGCCCGTCAACTTTAGCCAGGACACCATCACCGACGAATACAGGGCGCCGCAAACAACGGAAAACGGTACCAACGTGACGGTCAGCTATTCGCTGTGGATCGGCAGCAACATCACGGAAAAGAGATCCATAAACATTACGGCCAACCACAATGTAACCTTCTACGAAATCATGCAACGAGCGTCCATTCTGGACAGTGCTTTCACGTGCGTCACAAAGCGTATATTTTTCTATCCGATGGTGCTATGACTTGAGCCGGGTTCACACGGTCCACTCTGGAAGACGGTTTTCGATGAATTCGTTGTACAAACGAACCGTGCAAATACATGGTGTTTTTAAAAAAAGAATGGCGGGGTTTCAAACGGCTGTAGGCTGTGAAATATTGGACCTACGGCAGGACTTCAATGAAAGAGGGAGCTGTCAAGATTCGAACGACTGCCACTAGATGTTTCATAGTCGTAACTGAATTCTCGATCACTTATCTCGTGAGGACCCCGTCTTAACAAACTGAACAATGAGACGGTTGGCGACACAAACAGGAACGTGGCAGTCATTCGAAACTTGACAACTCCCTCTTTCATTCAAGCCCTACAGCGCTCTGCTGTAGGTCCAATACTTCACAACCTACAGCCGTTTGAAACCCCACCATTCTTTTTGATACACCCTTTGTTATCAAAACCGTCCGAATAGTGATCAGGTTGGCTCAGGTCCAGCTTTGGTTTACTTTGAACGGTTCGTCCAGCGCGAACCGTGTAAACCCGTTGATTTTTTTCCATTTTTGTTAGTCATACTTTATCACCGCGAGGAAATTAAATTTCCCGACAATTAATATCACATATTATAATATAAACGAGAAAGGGGAAACAAAATGAAACCAATCGAATAAAAAGCACGCCCAAACACGATTGCTTACAAATTTAAAGCAATAAATAGCGACTACAGCTGTCCTGGGGGGAAAAAATAAGGGTGATACGGGAGTTGAGAATATTTATGGTAGAGAGAGAGAGAGAGAAAATAAACAATGTTTAAATTCAGTTCAAGTCAGGTATAAAATATGGCCAAATATATAAGTGTTGTAACTTCGTACTATTTTACATACGATCATGTTAAGTGAAGTGCCGTTTATGTTAATAATGTCGATTTTCAACTGCCAGCTTTTACATAAATTGAACATACGTTCCGCTTGCAAAGTTTAGTATAATAATGCAATATAGGAATTCAAAAGACTTAACAACCGTTCGGAAAGCGAACAGAGAAATGTTTAACAACTAACAAATCCTACAGCATCTGTCTCAGACTTTCAACAAAATAACTCTTTATTGTACTGTTAAATCTAAAATTAATATTAAAATATATTTCAGAACATTCACCCTCACTCAAAAAGTTTGTAACCAAACAGTTGTATAGGAAAGTTTAAAAGTACATATCTTACTGTCATTTCCCAACTTTCATTAATAGCCCTATTAAAAAAATGAACGTGTTAAGCAGATGTGTAAACTATTAAGTATTGATGATAACTGGAGGACTAGAGGGTTAATAATTCTACTTTACAGAGGCTGAAAATGTATAGCGATTGTTGACAGGTTGACTTTTTATGTTGACATTTAACGAAAAGGTTTGGACTTTTAAAACAAAATGTCAATCATCATCTTTGTTATTACTTCAAAGGTCGAAATTCCAGAAAAAGGTCGTCGCAGGGACGTTTTGTTTTTATTTACCCATTAAACCCATAAGCCAGGAGAGTGAGACCTAGACATGTGAGAATTTTCATGTAAACTGTCATTGTCTTAATTGTTTTAGGAATGACAAAATTGAATTTTAACCATCCAGATCTACTGCCAGATTTTAATGTTTCCCATTCTCGAATTCGCTGTATTGCCAACTGATAATAACCTGCTAATCTGACCAAGTCGACGTTATGGTTGGTTTTGGAGTAAATGTAGCAAGGTTGCCAAAGTAGCTCACTAATGTTGTGGCGTGTCTAAAATATTATCGATTCAATGGTATTTCTCCAGAAATGATCCTTTAGCGGACAATCGTTGTCATACTATTCCAATGTTCTTTTTTTTTTTTTCCAAGTCAGGGGTGTGAAGAAATGGCTATTAATTGGGTTTGTACTATTTTCTCGTGGCAGCATATCAATAATGAATGGACAATTTTTTGCTAGGCTTGCCAAAAACAATGATAATGATCCCCGAGACCGAGTCCAACGCACGTAGTCTACAGACGATCGATAAACACGTCGTTTATGATAAATAATACATATCAATTTATAACTTGAGTACTTTTTCCCCGCGACTGTGTTTAGATTTTCTGCAACGGAATGGCCCAACGGACATTATGTTCACACTCTGTCCGGTCTCAAGGAGGAACCCATGAGTTATCACTTCTGGCTGTTGTACAAACTGAAATCGTGTCCGGACCCACAAAAACCGCCCAGCAATCAACTGGTGGCACCGACTGGCGTTGACGATCTGATCGTGCAGAACGGCGAACATTACTTATTTTGGTACAAGAAGCTTTAGACCAAAAAAAAACAGGTTGGTCACACTGTAATGCGGTTTAACTCGACCGAATCTGACACGTCCAAGTTGGGTTTTTCTTCCTTCGAATCGTTTATCAACTCGATGAATTACTTTCAATGCTTTGTATGTAATAACTTGCTAACACCACTAATTGTTATTTTCAAAATAACGCGGTTTAGTTTATCTAAATGTAGATCGCAATTTTTTATAAAAAAAATTCCCTGCAGTGAGCATTGTCCCAAAAAAGATATCAAAAATGTTTTATTTATTTAAAAAATATACTTCGAATAGAAAATTCAATATAATTTTGGAAAACTCTCACTCGTTGGAGAATTTTCAAGTAAGTAAAACCGTTCTTTGTATACAACATGTTACTCATGAGAATGTAATAAGACCACACATAATTAACGGGGCACACATTTATGATACACCCTGTATATTATTATTATTGCCGTGTTTTATTTCTCATAAAAACACACAATTATATTCTTAGTGAAAAAATTACAATGTTTTTTTTTTTATATAAAAATTGGTAATTTTTTCTAAGAGAAATTTCGGAATAAGCTCTTAACTGTAAAGCTCTTTTCACTAAAATTTAACATATCAAAATTAATTGAAATAATATCGAAAAAGTAAATGCACTAAAGTAATCCTGTTAAAGGGGGCAACGACTGAAAAAGGTTTAGTAGATTTTATCGAATAGTTTTTAACTTGGCTAGTTTACTTATTTTAACTTGAAATATACAATTTTTTTTTATTTCAACTTACTAGTTGAAAAACCTGTGACTTTGCCCAGCCTTGTTTAAGTTCCTATACAACAATTTATTGTTAATAATATGTTCTAATTCGTGCGTTGCGGTTTGTTTCAGAAGTGCATTTGGAGAATTTCTCGAAACGATTAACGTTTTTACATTAAGGTCGACAATAAAATTATTAAAGGATAAACAATATTTGATTTTAATTTTAATAAAAAAAAATGTCTCTTTCCCCCCCCCCCCACTTAGAACCGTGATTCGTATTTAGACTTGTCCGAAACTATGTGTCAAAAGATAATTAATTGTCTCTAATAATATTATAGCAATGTACACGCTTAAAAAAAAAAAAAAAAAAACATTTATCACGGAACGCGTTTTTGGGTAAGCATATTTTTTTTTTTCGTGTTGGAACGGTTGAAGTTTTATTGAAAAAAAAGAAAAAGAGTGGAAGAAATTGAGAAGGTGTAAAAGATAGTTTCTATTCAATTATTATGTAAAACGTGTTCCGTGTTGGACAGCAAAATATAATTGAACTTTTTTTTGTTATACTTACAAACAAAACTTAACATTGTATACTTTGTAGCCTTTGAGCCATTATTGATTTTAGCTTAACGGTATTGTTTTAGTGTTTTTACCGGAAATCTAAACAATCTAAACATTACTAACCCAACGTGTTTACTTTTGTACTATTATGTGTATGTAACTGTATTATGTTATTCGCTGGATTATCATCACAGGTAATATTCAAAGGAAGACTGCGCGGACAGCCAACATTATATTATCTCTTATTGTATTCACCAAGGTTAGAAAGAAAAAAATTATTTTTAAAATATGCTTAGAAAAATTAATACTTATGTTTTTTTTCTTAACCTTATCGAATGTTAATTTTTGGAAATTTCTATTTTACTCTCGCGTTTGCTTAAAATCAATATTTTCATTTAATTTTTTTCTATTATTATTATTAACAAATATATTCGATTTACGATTATAGAGATTATAATATATATTATATACCATTGTAATCGGCTCTTAATTACGGTAGTGTTACTTAGGTATTTTTAAAATTCTTTTAACGTTAATTAAGAAATAAAAAAAAAAAATTATTTAAATAAAATTGTACAACTAACTATGTTATGCCTATTTTATTATATCAACCAGAGTTCTACAAGTACAGAAGAAATGAAATACATAGTTTAATACAAGGTAAAAAGAAGTGAAAAAAATTAAAATTTCGAAAATGGTCCACTGGATGTTATTATTACATTTTCCACGATTTTTATTCTTCAAGCGGTAAAATAAATGTATTTATTAATTTGCAAATTGACCATTTTAACATTTAAGTATTTTAGAAATTATTGTTTAGGTATAAAGCTGAAAGTATAAAAATTAAAAATATTGAAAAATAATTTAATTTATTTGATTACAGGACACTGATTTTTCAAAATAAAATCTGGTGTCTACAAAACTAGTCAAAGAACTCGAACCTCTCTAAGTAGGCATAATTTTATCAGGTTTATTGGGTCTAAAATGAACCAAAATGGCTTATACTCATAGAAAAAAATACCTGTAAATTAATAATATTACCTCGAAGCTTATACAAATAACAGGATCCACTTTTATCTTAAATATTGCCTATATAAAACTCCTTAAACCCGACCGCTTCAAATCTTCCCTTAAATAAAAAAAAATTAACTACAATTTTTTAACAAATTCATATATGCTATAAGCCCCCACTTTAGATAGGTTTACCGTAAGTCTATTTTTCAAACCTTAGTCTCTAATCTACACCTAAAAATAAAATAAACATTTCCATCACTTATGAGGGAAACTGTTTTTTTTTATTTTATTTTTTTGGTGTTTGTCAACGCATATCAATACACTAATATGGCTATACAAATTTGGAACTGATTCTATTAAATTGTTTTTTTTTTCAATTTGTATAGTAACTTTATTACAATTATTGTTGTAAATTGTACCGACTGCATTCGACTGTGTATAAATTGCCTATTTTTACTCCTAGTATTTTTATCGAATAATAAAATCGTCCGAAGAGCTCTACTACTTTCCAAAGCAGACTGTATATTTTTTTTTACTATTTATCAATTCGACGTAGCCGTTTTAATTTATGGTAAAAAAAAAAAAAAAAAGAATATTAAATGTACAATGGTGGTTGTTATTTGAATTTCCCATATGAGACTTTCAACCGATTGTTAATAAAAATATATGTACACGGTGCATTTTTCTAATGGGTCCCCGGAGGTCTTGACCGGAATACCCTTTAACAATATTTTATTAGCCGTCACCCCTAAACACACACAAGTATAATTCATTCGTACCAAAAGCAAATAGGTGTATTAGCTGTTTATAGGGCGGGTGTGCACAGTGTATTACAGGAAAAAAACATTTCTTAAAACGTTTGTACGCCAACACGTAAACTGTCCAATCGTTAATTCAGTGTTGAACAAGAAAACGACCCAAAAGGTTCGAATTAGTGTTTTTTTTAAATACCTACATTTTGTTTTAAGGAGAGATTTGTTGAAATAAAAATAAATATAGCACTAATTATAAGTTTTAAGGTTTTTTTTAGAATCCCCCGCCTCCCATCATAATCTAATGGAGTGATAAGGGGAAAATGATAATTCTCGGATAACAACTGATAAGAGACAGAAAACTATCTGAACGCAAGACATGATCAATGTCTTTCCTTTGAGAGAGAAAGATTGAATTTTTTTTTTTGGGTGGTTTTTTTATAAGCAATATTTAAGAAAAAAACGGTTTAACACATTTCGACCATATCTACGGCATAGCAATTTGAGTAAAAAGTATTGTCAGGCTTTTTGATCTCCAAAACGTTTTCAACAAACTACTTTCAATCCCGTTTATTTGAATTTATATCAACACGTTCGACTTTTTGATACGGATTAGAATATTTTTCTAGCACGTTTATAGTTACCTATTTTCTAAATCGCCTCCAAAGTTATACAACAACAAAAAACACCTTACTCCGTTTTAACACATCTTATACAAACATCTATCAAAAATCTACTATAAAGTCAACATTTTTATTCGGGACTCCATTCGGTCCTAATATTCGTATCGGCGATGAAATTCCCGACTCGAAAATCAAAAATATAATTATATAAAATACAAAAAAAAATTGTAAATTTTTATTTTAAGATCAACTTTCAATTGTGCTAAACGGAATCAACCTGTTCGAAGACGTCATAACATTATACTCGTATACACCGGTAACCGATAACCACTTACCGGGTAACCAAGCGGTTACGTGCAATTAACCGCGGTAATATATTTTGTAAGACCATCGCCAACGCTTCTAGAGTTGACCATAAGGCTAAAAAAGGGGGTAAGTTTTTAAGTAAACTTAAATAAGTTATAAGTAATTTTTTATAGTAGGTAATAAATCGAATATAAACAAATCCATAATCCACCTTCGACACGGTATTACATATTGTACTCTATCGGCTAACGTGGTTTACACAATACTTCAATTTCGAGCTCAAACGTACAACAATTAAAATATTATAAAGGTAAGTTTTAACATTTTTTTTAATTTAAGATAATATGACGCCAACGCCGGCTGTACAATAGGTATATCTACTTATCTGCGCCGTCTAAATATTTATTCGTTTATCTGGGCAGGCGCCATTTGGGTATTCTAGAATGCATAGTGCATGCTATAAGGACCCAAGGTCGGAAATTCGACTGGCGCCAATACAATGTGAAAACTAATGCGCACAAAATACTATCAATTCACATTGAATTAATTTTTTTTTTACACGAATATTCCATTTTTATTTTCAAAGTATTCATATCGTTTCAAAAATCTTCTCAATAAAAAAAAAAACCCCCCAACTGTTTTTGTACAGCACATTTTTTTTTTTAATGGACATGTAATGAAGACATTATGTAGGTGACCACCACGATGCCGATAGTCATCGTTTTGAAAAGAAAATGTATAAAATAATATTTTCTCAAGTCCACATCGAAAGTAAAGCTCGTGTGTTTAAAGACACTTTTCTCGTTATTTAAACAATAATATAAAACAAAAAACATAAATAATATTAAAACAATAATATAAAACTTAGTTCAACGGTTAGGTGACAAGTTCAAAACTTAACCCGTCGACAAATGGGAAAATATAGCCGTTTGAGGCTGTTGCGATCGGTTAAAACCTTAGAAATTTAATGATGTTCAATAGGTTTGAGTTTACACATAGGCTTAATGTACACCTGGACGTATCTTAAGTGATAAACTGTTAAGAACGGCCACGTTCATAGAGAAGTGCATCTACAACGCTTTAGACCAAACGTGGCTCGACAAATTTGGCCAAAACATATACGGTTGCAATCGGCTTTTAACACAAGACAAGCTATTCGCTATAAAATTATGAAAATGTTTTTAAAAAAAAAATCATATCTTCAATTTTCACACAGTCATAAAAATAAATAATACTTAAACTTTATATATATACACAATATGTGTATGTGTATATATTATATACTGTAATAATTGTTCAAAATAATAATTATACATATCATGTATATATATATCGATAATATGCATTTGTATTTTTCCTTATTATTTTACTTTACACATATATTTTATTACAACGACGACGACGACAACAATGTACACCTAACCTAAACAACAAATTTTACTCTTCGCTTGAAAAAAAAAAAAGACATAAATATAATAATATATAGTATGGAGATTATTATTATTATTATTATTACAAAAAAAAATATATATATATAATATATTAAAACACAAAAAAAGTGAGATTATACATCGACACAAAGGTACGTACTACTTTTTTTTACAAAAATTATCAATATTATTATTAGGCGTATTGATAAATAATTAAATCGTAAAACAACGAAATAAGAAATCACAGAAGTTAAAAGCCATGAGATATACATATATATATATATATGTATATAAATGTGAATGATGAACATATGTTTTTCGTGGCGCAGCCGTAGTAGGACTCGACTCTCGCTTGAGTTACGGCTACGCCACCGCTAGTTGCAAAAAATATAAACGTATACTTGACGAGCACGCGGTCAATAAATATTTAAATACGTACAAACGAAACATAATCATTACTTTACTTTTCAATCCAGTAATTTTTTTACATTTGAAGAAAACGCATTCCAACGACCTAGAGCGTAAGACACGCCATCACAATATTGTCGTCGGACATACTTTTCAACAAAAAAACCATTACGATTCAAACGAACAATTGAAAAATAAATATATACATACTTTTAGATGTATATTTTACTTATATAATCGATATCAATACGAACACATATAATATATATCTTGTACAACAAATATAATAATTATTATGTATTTTTATAACAGTAACCGCGTACCGTGCGTTTTAAATTTTTATTTAAGAACTATATATCATATACGTATATATATATAAAAACACATATTAATGGACATATAATATATATCGTTCATAAAATAATGGCATTCGACAATAATAGTTTTTTTTTTTTTTTTAAGGAAGACTAACAAAAATTCTCCAAAATCAAAATTAAAAAAATTGTTAAATTGCACGATTCGAAAACATTTCCATATCAAAATAAAACGCCGGTCGGTTGCATTTACAATAATAATAAAAGTAATAACAAATAGTAATGTTTATTATTATTTTATATTTCTAATAAAACGCTCAGCAACGTCGACCAGCGGTATACGATAATTATTATATATTTTTTTTCACAACACGACCGATGAAACATATTTATATCCGTGATGTCTACGCAAAACTAAACGTCTAGAAAATTTAAATTTACACTTTTTGTCCTGAAGACTTACAACATATATTATGTATAGTAAATAATAATAATAATAATTAATAAAAAAAAGTATTAAAAAAAAAAAAAAAAAAAATGGAGGGTATTACTGAAAAAATATACAATTATATCAATAGTCAAAAAAAAAAAAATATATATATATATATTTATATGTACGTATCGAATACACGACCCGTTAACGCAACGACAATCCGTCATCGAATGGACGATCTAAGGAAATGTTGCGCATCCACTTGTCGCTAGACGTTAGTTTTTTTTCGAGAGCCGTATCTCCTCTTAAGTATACTTGATTCATTCTTAACTATTTTTATTCGTTTAATACGTCGTTCAAACATCGCAAACAACACAACGGTTCATAATATGGTGCAGGCCGCCGAACAACAACTGCTACTTGCGCCTTTACTTTTTTGTCGCTGATCTGGAAAAACAAAATAAAAAAAATTATGATTTTTAATCAAGTCGCTTATCGCATCCAAAACAACAACAACAATTTTTTATAATTCATAAGAAAAAATTAATAATTACTATTAAAATATTTTCACTCGACAAACATCCGAATAAATTTCTATTCGAACGATAAATAAAATAATATAAAAACATAATTTTTTTTAAATATAAGAAGTTCAATTAATATAATAAAAAACCAAACAAATATATGTATATTTGTTTTAGTATCCGTTTCCAAAAAAATTTGTATACTGTGTACTATAATAATATTTAAATGAACATTTATGTAGCAATTATCGAGCCGCTAAGTCTCCGGTATAGTTTATTATATTCGCCAGTAAATATTACTAACGATAATACACTGAATAAATGGATTTTGAAGAAAAAAAATACCTAGCTGAGTAACATTAGGTGGGAGCAATTAGGGGCGGGGCTTAGGGGTATTAGCACCCCCAATTTTAAAATAAGCACTCTAATATTTTTCCTATTTATATGTTTACACACCTATAAAATTAAAATACTAATAAACTCAAGTGTTAAATGGTTAAATTATTATACAACATTCTTGCTCAAGAAAACATCAACTTCATTAATTAAAATTTAAGTTTAAATACATGGAAAATGTAGCATTTTAAGCACTCTCAAATTTGTTTTAATGAAACTGCGCCTATGATGAGGAAGGCATTGGGTCCATTTCAAAATATATTTACAGCTCCTAGTTTAAAAATCGAAAATCTACATAATTTATTGATCATGTTTTTAGGTTATCAATACAACAATAATCGACGGCCGACATAATATTATTATGTGACATTGCAAACGCATTTCCGTTTATCCTTTATTATCAAGAAACTAGTCACCGCTGTTGTATTTGTTTTTATAAAGACAATATTAACCTATAACGTATATATTATCGTGGCTTTTAGTTTGATTAATAATAATACTACTTTAACGTTTGTATTGACTCGAGCAAGCGTTGCTCATGACTAAAGCTCGGATGTTTATGACTGCATATTTTTTTTTTACTGAAATCAGAATTATACACAAATACGATATAAATTCAATTCATAAAGACTAGATTTTAAACCAGCAAACTTATGTTGCATATATATTTGCATATTTGACACTTATATTTGCCTATAGTAATTAACCTGTGAAATGTTATTTATATTATGTCAATTCGGCTATTTGAAAATTCAATAAAGGCACATAATTGCATATTTTGATGTTTTTAAATGCATATTTTAATACATTTATATGGTCATTAACATCCGAGCTCTACTTATGACTTAATAGTCTAAACATTATAATATATATATATATATATATATCCTAATGTGTAATTTTCATTCGAAATTCTGTACTCATTCTGGATTACATGTAGACATCACCAAAGTTTTCACAGGTAATTCTCACTTTGAATACTAATAAATCATTATTGCCATAATATTATAATTTACAACAAAAAACCAACTATTTTCCTTTGAGTAACGGACATGTAAATAAATAATACCGTTGCTAATTATTATTTTTTCCCCCATTTTATCAAGAGCCTTTTCCCCTAGAAGGAGTGAACCTTTTTAATTATTAAGACACCCTACCCACGGATAAGTGTTTTTTTTTTTATTGTGGATAGGGTTTCTTAATAATTAAAATATATTAATCCGCCTAGTGACTCTGACTTACGTTGACTATGGAACAAATATCTTTGTACCAGTTTGTCAAACGAAATTCGAAAATTTTATTTACAAAGTATTGTATTAAGCAACATTGGAAATATATTCAAAATGTTTTTCTCGACAAATTACATTTGTGTTTATGTAAAAAATGTATATTTACATAAAATATTACTTCTAAGCGTACATTTTATTTAAGAAAACAAATAAACTGCAAACAATGATTTATCATTTGTTATTAGAAAGTAAAACATTACTCACGTTTGAAACTCACATCCGTTAATTAAATATTTACATATTTTTATGGAACGATGAAATATAATAAAACAAAAAAATCGTGATATATTTATTTTAAAACATTTTTTTTTATATTTTTATCATATTAATACTAATCTAACAGGGTCATTTTTTATTTGTACAAGAAATGATAATTTCAAAAACAATGAATTATTTCAAGTACTTTGTTTTCGTTTACCTCTTCAAATAATTTTAACTTTGATGCTATTATTTTGAACACAGTTTTGTATGAACGTTTTAAATATAACTTGTTGTTTTTAATAGAAAAATATTGCATTTTATTATTCGATTTCTTCCCTTTAAATGATATTTATTGATTTCAGTTGTTATATTTGCAAAAGAAAACAAAGTTAAAACTGAAAAGTGATATTGAGTCACATAAATGACGCCCAGGTTTGTTATGGTAATAATGAGAAATTAAAATGAGAGGAATTCTGTGACTTATTTTCAAACTTAATACCTATAATTAATTTCTCAATAAAACCTCCTAACACCTGTTGTCGACTAAAATTTGTTAAACATAAATATACCCATTTTTTTTTTTAAATACAAGGTTACTTCACTACTAATTACCTATCCAACAGCTGCCACACCAAACCTGGGAAATTTTTATTTAAACACACCATCTATTTTCAAAACGATCTTTATCAAAATAAGAGTGCAGTAAACGCATAAAAATGGCATATTATATTATATTTTTATTATAACATCAATCGTCCCTAATTTTTTCAAAAAAATTAAAAAAACATGCAGTGACGAAGAGTCATTCCAGGAGAGTCCTCGTCGTACTTAATTTAAAAATGACTTTACAATTATTATAGTGTCGTTGCCAAATCGGTAATAATCAAATGCCCGGAAATGGAATACACTACAATATGTATAAAACAAAAAAATAAAATAAAAAATTACACACGACCAACAAACGCAGACGGCAAAGAATGACGTTCGGTTAGGTCGATTGTATTTAATCTCGATGACGATAAATTATAAACGGTTTTTTTTATCATCGAGGCGGAAACGGTCGACTAATTAGTTTCACTGGTTACATATTATTTGAACTACTATGACTGGGCTGGACGTACAATTTCAATTGATTATCAACACTATCTAATTCGGCAGAATTTTTTGCCCATATTATTTTTTAACCCATCGCCCCTGGGGGAAACGTTGCCTAATAACTGTTATCCACTTAAAAAACACAAAATATTAGTGTATTATTTAATCACATATCGTTATGTCATAACGATAATTAAATTTAAATAAACACGTATACCATTTAATTATATATCCACTCAATATTAAAATATGTGTCACTATAATAACTGTTAACAATTTGGAAAAAAAAAAATCTATCTCGACTCTTGAAAAAAAGTTTAAGTTTTCCCATATTTGTCTTTCTTTATGTCGTCCATAATCAAACAACTAAAACAGTCGTATTTTGAGTGCCTCGTTTTTATTTTTAAAAAAAACTTATTTAGGCAAGACCTAACTATAAAACATATTATTACAATATATTTTTTGCTCAACACCAAACAAAGGCTGGGCTTCTGTGAAAATAAAAATAAAACTAGCGGGTTTACAATCGCAGATAAGTGCAATGTTTTGGAAAATTATTTTTTATGGAAAAAATTACCTATACCATAAAATATTATGAAATTTGTTTTTTCCTTTAAAATTGATGTAAATAATTGTATTTACAACCGCTATGGAAAAATCTTAAATTCTTAGTGGTATGGTTGTCGCTACCTCACATCCCCTCTCAAATTTGGAAATACTGACTTGCATTTATTCTAAAAGGTGTAATGGCCTTCTACCTACATCGTCTCGCAAAGCGTATAATTGCTTTTTTTAGGCCTGTATTATAATTATTAATCGGTTAATATATAGTTTTAAAAGTGTTTTTTTATTTCGTTGATTTTTTTTTGTTATTATTTTACCATCAATATGTCTTATGGCCAGATTTGCGAGTTACATCAGAAAGAGAACAGACAGCAAGAGGACAATCTCTTGACAGCTGATAAGAAACGAATGCCGTTACCAGAAAATAACCAGAAGGGAAATCTAGGCTGGGACTGATAAGTGTCCGACATCTTGTTTAAGCAGATTACGTACAATCATCACGCTTTTTCCTGGAATTGTCTATAGTCGTCCAGATATAAAGTTTCCCTCCTGGTTATTCACCTGTTATCAGTTATCGGCTGATAACAGCGAATCGACGAAAAACAGAATCGGCCAATCACGATAGGACGTGTGCGCGATGGCCAACGTGTTTTCTCCCGGGAAGGAAAGAATGAGTTCATAGAATAATCGTCGCGTTAGAGGAAAGGTAAAACAAACAGTAGTAGTTTATTATTCGTTCAAAAACACAACATTGCGCTGCTCGTTTTACGAGCCGGGAGACAAGTCATCCGAACGATCGTCGTCGGTGGGGAAATCCCATTCGGAGGTTTCGCTGTTAGATTCCGTTCGCGGATCAGGATAAGAAGAAGAGAAGCGTCGACAACGGCGGCAGACCGAGGAAGGGACCACAACCAGTGACCGGACAACGACCGGTCGTTCTTCTCACCTTGCGAATTGGGTTCTGGCAGTGTTTCCCTGGGCACGAGATGCATGACTGTGGTCCGGGCCGGCGCCAGGCCCAAAGCGCCCAACGTGACGTTGCTGTGTAAAAATCGTCCCTGGTATATCAGTCGGAGGATCTCGGCTTTTTCCACCGCTTCGTCCGCCCAATCTGTAATGAAAAAAAAAAAAAATACATATATAAATTGTCAGGTCTTCAAGTCCAAAATCGATGGGTAAAAATACGATCAACTGGATAAATTCGATATTAACATGGATATGTTTTTGGGCTGGGAGGGTGTGTGGGTCGAGACACCGGCTGGTGATAAGAGTGAAAATCAAGAAAACAGAGATGAGCAACAGCTGATAACGGCTGCCTCAAATGGGTCTATCTGGAATTGAGAGTCCACCGAAAAAGCGGAACTGTGATGAGTGATGAACGGAAGGTAGGCTGGGGAAAAGGCAGATGTTCTAATGAGTGTTCACGGAAGAGGAAATAGGTGGGAGGAGATAACAGTGCGATAGGGAGGGGAGAGGAGAGAAATAAATGTACACAGTTTAATGCTTTTCTCAGTGTATAAAAATATAAATGTATTTAAACAAAAAACAGGGCTGCCAGCTGAAAAATATAGTTTTAATAAGTGTGAGAAGTGACATATCAAAATTCTGTAATCACTTATCAGCTGATTTGCTTACAAATAATAATCCCTTATCGAGGATCGGAGAATCTAAAAATGTTGTAAAATTTATATTTTATGACTCAATGTTTTTTTTTTAAATGTTACTGTTTTTATATGCCAAAGTAACAAAAAAAACACTATTTGGCATCTGTTCATTGAAAACGTGTTCGAGCCAAAATTTATATAATTTGTTACGCCTAAAACAAATGTTGAATAAAACAAATTAATAGAATACAGTATTCTGGCAGATTACTGATGTTGAACTTGAAAATTGTTAAGAAAAAAAATAGTTATTTTGGTTTTTGAATAGATTTTGTATTGTTTTGTTTTTTGACAATACAATATAAAATTCGAAACATTTAACATGTTTTTTTTTTATGTTTTCCAAAGTGTTAACTACTTGGAAACATACATTAAAATTGGGAACAATAATATGCTGAAAATGTTGACTAGCTACTGGCTAGTCTTCAAAGGTCTAGAAAATAAAAAATAAATAAATATACAAATATATGTATATTGTAATTTTATAATATATTCTCATGTTAATTACTATATTTCTCGACGACTGCCAGATTAAATAACGTACCACCCTACTAATTAAGTTAAAAATTGTGCCAAATAAAATGCAAATATTTTTTTATCAACACAAATAAATAAAAAAATTAACATACAGGCAAGCAACAAAATAATAGACGTTTGCCCACCCAAACGATTACCAAATAAACAAATAGTAGCGCTAGAGTTCAAATAAAAAATATACCATGAAACATATTTTATCAGTAAACGTTACTATTCAATGTACACTACTACTATTCACAGGTCTCATACATATTGTAAATGATATTAGGAAATATAGATTTTAATTATTATTTCTACCGTTACAAACATTTTGGACAATATTATAAAACGTTTAGGTTGTGTATATTCCATAAAATAATACTACAGTTCATTTCTCAGCATAATAATATTTTTATTATTACTTAAACACCCCCTCCTATTGATCCGTCAATATACTTTGAGATACCCTACATACATGTTTGTACATATTTATTACAACTTACTCAAACTTGATGCAAAATAATTATATCAACACTCTCTCTCTATTTATTTAACAAGACCGACTTGGCGGTGACTGAATCGTGTTTGGGTGATAAAATTAAAAATAATGACTAGACGATATATAGTTTTGTACGGTTTTTTTTTAAATTTATTTTATTTTAAAATACATACGAGAGAGTGTGTGCTCGTCCAACTCATATATGTACACGAGTCCACGGTACAAATCTTAACACACGTTGCACTTTAGATTATCACACACACATCTTTGGACTAATTATCCAAAACGGATAACATTTATGTTGTAGAGTGATGAAAAAAAAAAATGTAATTAATAATTGTCCAAAAAATATAATATGTAACACGGTGGTTAACCTACACTAACGTAATCGTTGTAAGTTAGTTTTTTTGAAACGACCCAAAAACAATAATTACCGGTTTTGTATAAATTAAAAAGCAAATTACTATAATAATATGTTAGACATGTTCAGACCTCGGTCAGAAATCGTGTGAAACATAATGTTATTAAAAAATTACACAACAATTAAGGGGACTGAAACCGTCCGACTGTATTGATTTGATTGTGTTCGTTGAAGAAGTTTAGCAGCCAATAAAAAAGCTGGTTTTGGTACAGTTAAAGAGTTGGTTTTTTTTTCTTCATAACATTTTAAACGGAGGAAAAAAATAATAAAAATTATACTGAATTTTAGCTTCGATGCGATAGCTGAGAAGGTATTGGTTTTATAATGATGTGTGTGTATGTTTTTTTTAGCATAATATCAACAGACCATCTTGTACAAACCAAAAACAAACCATTATATCCGTTTAGAGACTATTACAAGTTCTATTACTTACTGGAAATTTAATATTCGCGATACGTCATAAACGTGGGTTACATATGTACATATATACGGTAATAAGAACGGTTAGTGAAATTAATTTTTTTTAGTCGCGACTTTTACTTTTTAAACTACTTTTATACCAAGACCGGGTATAATTATTATTTTTTTTTTCTTATATATAATATGCTGTAGTGCGAGCCATTTTAATGAGCGGCTCGCACTTAAAACGGGATTCGATCAGGTGCAAAAATATAGTATTATCTTAACGTAGCGCGAAAAACAGCCTCGACTACTGTAAATTGTTTAGAACCCCCCCCCCTCACCTATTAACAGAGTTGGGCATTGTTCGAGTGAAATTAAAAAAATACAATTTTTGTCGTTAATTATTCGAATAATTAAATGGGCCATTTCAAAAACGACGGGTCACTGTTGTTTTACAAAAAAAAAAAAAACATTCAAATTTAATACTTAGACTACTCTACATATTATATTATACTTAGTTACATTTTTTTTTTTTGTTATAAATTATACCTATACAATTTTTTTTTACTTTTGACCTATATATTTTCCTTGCAAAAACAACATGACAACATATTATGTCGTTAACATGTGTTCAGATTTATTGAAATCTAACGGCAGATGCTAAAAATAAATAGGCAAAAGTGCAAAAAAAAAAACAAGTTTAATTAAATTTATTCTTCAAGTCATAAATGTGGTAAAATTTTAGTTATATATAATATTTGTTGTTCGAATACTGTAATATGTAATTGTTTTTTTTTTTCCTTTCTTTTTCACTTGTTATTTGTTCATTTCTAATTAAACGTTGTCCAACCGTGTGTGAAAAATACACGTGTCGTACAACAATACACAATTCGTGTTTGTTAATTTCCAGTAGATTTAATTAATTAAAAATCGACTTCAACGTCGACGACGAGTGGACATTAATTCTGTTATTTCTCAACCGTGTATTAGACATACAAGTGTATAACATAACATAGATATTGCACGATCACGGCGAAGCAATTTCAGGCCCGGTTACTCTAGCTTATGAGTGGAACTATAAAATTAATAATAAAAAAAATAAAGAGGTGGAGAGAAAGTCACACACTCACACCATTGTACGCGATCGCTGGCAGAAAGATACATTCGAATACGCATAATATATAAAGAAGGAAGCTTTCTCCTCTTCTTAGTTTTTTTTAATTGACACAAATTTAAAAATTCTATAACGCTTCATTATTATTTTTTTAACACTTACAACAACGAAAGGGAATAAGTCGAAAATAGGGGAAAAGTAAAAAAAATCTAAAATTCCCGGAAAACCAGTTTTTTGATAAATACAAAATTTTAAATAAAAAAAACCTCAAAACTTTTTACATTAGTAACATTTGTTTTATTTTTCCCAGATTTTTTAGGTACTTATTTTGTGTCCCTTCCACAGCTGGGGGAGGAGCCTGTACCATTTTCTTAAATAAAATACAAAAAGAAAGTAGAACAATAGTTTAAAACATTTCGATGAATCAAAAGGAAATCCATTAATTGAAACAGTAGCTACATATTTTTTGTACATAGAGTTGCTAATGTTTGCCGGAACTTAGCACTCGTGGCTTCCTTTAGATTTAAATAATATAAAATAAAGGGTTTTTGTATATATTTTTCCAGTATTCGGCAAGTATATGCATAATATATTTATAAAATTTTAAAAAATGACATCATCAAATCAGTGAGATAATTTGACTAATTATCAAAGTAGTGAATGAAAGTGACTAGTTTCCGCCCCTGCAATTAATACACCCCTGAATAAAACAAATGTAATCAAAAAAACTTTATCGTTGACACGGTAAGTTATAATATTATAAAATATACTAATACTACACCAATATTATTTTACATATATTATTATAGTTAATATAATATTATAAAAGACTCCACTTCATAAATAAACAATGTTATTTTCAAAAGCATATTTTATAAGTTTATTTGTTCTATAATTTTGCCATACAAACATTCGTTTCAAATCACAAGATGCAACTTATTCCTTTTTTTTTTTGTTTTTAATAAGCGATAAAATCAGACGCCATTTTTGTGTATAGCACCGCTCGTAGGTATCCTTAAATCTAATATAAGCCCTAATGTTTTCCACGCTTCTCCGCAATCCATTAAAAAGTAAATAGCTGTAGGCAGATGTGTTGACATAAAAAATTAAGGACTACGATTTTCGGTGGCTCTTTCTGTGTGTATTTGTAACCGATTCGAAATTGCCCCCAAACATATTTTATCACTTTAACCTCCGGGCGGCCTTACCAAGACACAGTTTACAATTCAATGTATGTAACCTTTACCTTTACACCTCGATTGCTCGCAAAACAAAACAAATATTCCAATATCGTCCAAACGATAAATTTCTATGACCAAGGGGCGTCGGCCAGTCCCGATTATTCTCACGAGGCTATAATTTTCCTTTTTATAATAGAAAAATATCGTTTTATGAATTATATTAAACAAAAAAAAAACACCTCATCAAGGTTAAACACTACAACACTAACCTTCCGTGTAAATTAAAAAAAAAAATCAATCTAGAATTTCTATTCACA